TGAGCACACCCAATTTTAGTAGTTTCTGCAATCTCTTTAGATGTTTTCTCTGCTTGATGCATGCCAATGATTTGACCCTTCTCAAACATACTAACATCTTTTCCACGACCACGGGATGTGTCTTTCAACATGGTTGTTTAGGAAATGAGAAGCAAGTCATTGCACCAGTTGGGGTTAAATAACTTGTTGCCAGCTGAAAGATAATCGCCCAATCCTGGTGTTTTCTCGCAAAAGCCTAGCGTCCTGTGAGATGTTGGGCTGTGACCACAACCCCCATTAGTGGATGTCAATCGCCCAGTAATTATCCAATAGGAGGCTCGTACCTATTTGCTTAGTTGAATCCAGGTGGCGACTTTTTTTTTGGCCAGGCAGTGTATATATATATATATATATATATAATATATTATTATATATATATATATTAGGGATGGGACGATTTATGAAAACCGTCAGAACCGTTCGGTTCGACTGTCTCGGTTCGGTTCGCGTGTGTTTCGTTCGGTTCATGCGCAGCTCCTTTTTCTCATAGGCGAAGCGATTACACTCCAGAGCAGAAGGTGGCGCTACTGCGACCAAAGCCAACCACCAGTAGTAAACAAAAAGAAGAAGAAGCGAAGCAGCTTAGCCGGGTGTAGCAGGGGAAAAAATCAGTTGTTGTGGAGAATTGTGTCGGAATGGCGAGTGGGAAAGAACAGGCGTTGGAAGACATGCCAGCAGCACTTTATAGGTCTGCTCAACCCAGTCTCATGGGAAAATGTACCTCCACTACGTTGGTCCACACTGCAAAACGTAGTGGAGGTACATTAATGGCCATTTTTTTGTGGCACTGTTACATTTCTTCTGCCTATACGCTTTCTGTTGTTTTACGTCCTAGTCACGTGACTTTCAAGATTCCAGCTGGGAGACGGAAAAAAAATATATATAGATGGCCGACATTCGCTCATTTTTTTGTGGAAAGATTAATAACTTGAGTTTGTTTTTGCATTAAAATGAGTTTTGATTACATTTCTAGTGAGAAATGTATAGTTTGTTGTCAGAATATTTACTCAGGGAATGTACATATTCACTTGCTTGTTCGTTTCTTGCAAAGATTTTTCAAGATAATGTGAAACTGTAACGTTTTGGTATAAACATGGCCGAGATTTCTCTAACTTTTAGTGGGAAAAGGACGTAAAACAATAGAAAGCGTATAGGCAGAAGAAATGTAACAGTGCCACAAAAAAATGGCCATTAATGTACCTCCACTACGTTTTGCAGTGTGGACCAACGTAGTGGGGGTACATTTTCCCATGAGACTGGGTTGGTCTGCTGTATGGGAGCACTTTGCATTTAGAGTGACCTACAATGACGCCGGAAAGAAGTTGTGGATAAAAGTGCAACAGTGTGCGAGCATTGTGCAACACGTTTTGTTTATGCTAACAGCAACATCACCAACATGTCATGCTAACCCCGAAATCCCTCATACTCCATCAGCAACCCCCGCTGCGCTCCAGACCGGCTGCTCAAAGCAAAGCCTACAGCCTCCACTGTGGCTCCCGTCCGCTCCCCTCTGAGTTCCTTGGAGATGGTAGAGAGCATGCGCGAGATGATTAAATTCAAAGCAGCAAAACATACGGAAATGATCCAGGGTTTCCGCGGATCATTTAAAATAATTACAATCCATTTTTTTGGGGGGGATTTTTTCATTTATTCCATAAATTTTTATTGGATTTCGGTGTAACAATCAACATGTATCGATCCGAACCAACCACACAAGATAATAAAGATAAAAAATATATACACATATAGCTCTTCTGTATGTATGTATATATATATATATATATATATATATATATATATATATATATATATATATATATATATATATATATATATATATATATATATATATATATAGATATAGATATATATATATATATCTATATCTATATATATATATATATATAGATATATATATATATAAAAAACTGTGAGTGGAGCGTGTAACAAAAGTAATTTCCCTCTGGGAATATTAAAGTATTTCTGTCTCTGATTCTGATATCTAAAATAACATTCTTCCTATCTAAAATAACATTCTTCCTATCTAAAATAAATATTCTTCCTATCTAAAAATGAATTCTGACTAGGATGAATTCTAATTTCAGATCTCACTCTTTCAGATCATAATATATTTGCTGCTAGTCATAATTACTATTTCTGATTTAAAAAATTAATATAACATTACAGATGTCCAGAAATAAAATTCTTGACATCGAAAATATATTTCTACTAGTAGAAATATAATGACAGATATCAACTATTGATATATGACTAGTTAAATTGGAATTTCAGACATCTAAATTTTAATTATGCTTATCTAAAATGCGGTTTTAGAAACTTAAAAACATTTTGACTAATGTTCAAAAAAGAAATGGGGCGCAGTTAAAGGAAAATTCCGGTTTTTAACACTTTTAGCCCATTTTCTGTAGTGTCCAGGATGAAATCGAATGATCGACACCAAAATTTTGACAATTGGTCCTGTCTCTGCTATTTGGCTCATGCAGAATCCCCCCCTGGCTGCTTCAGAATGGCTTCCATTGTGCATCTCCGATAATGTCCTTAAAACAACCTTAAACGTTCTTTTTTTTAAATATGCTACTCACCGGGTCGTCAGCGCTGTTCAATGACGTTCCAAAAAAAGTTTCGTAAAGAAAAAACGTTCCTGTAGTGTTTTATTTAGCATTTTGTAAATCCCATTGAGTTCTGTTGGAATAGTCAATATCCCTCCGCCACCGGAAACGGAAATGGGGCCTGTTTACACTTAGTTGTAGTCTTTTCGCAAGGCCCAAGTGTTTCTGCTTCACTCTGTGTACTCCGACGTCGAGGTGCTAACGTCTCTGTTAAACACTTGGAATACGAAAGGTGGATTCTTGAGGAGGACATATTGGACTTTGAGTTTGACGGTAGAGGATACCGTCGCCAACTAGTGGTCTGGAGTGTGCAACGCTTCAGATTCGAACGGGAAGCGGAAGTTTATAAGCGGTTGTGATGTATCGGAAAAAATAGTTCTGGAATTTACAAAATGCTAAATAAAACAAGACAGGAACGGTTTTTCTTCACGAAACTTTTTTTGGAACGTCATTGAACAGCGCTGACGACCCGGTGAGTAGCATATTTTAAAAAAAGAACGTTTAAGGTTGTTTTAAGGACATTATCGGACATGCACTATGGAAGCCATTCTGAAGCAGCCAGGGGGGGATTCTGCATGAGCCAAATAGCAGAGACAGGACCAATCATCAAAATTTTGGTGTCGATCATTCGATTTCATCCTGGACACTACAGAAAATGGGCTAAAAGTGTTAAAAACCGGAATTTTCCTTTAAAACATAAAATAGGCAGGCTGACTAGTCACATTTCTATGATAGATAGCACGAAAGAATTCTACCTAGACACAATTACAATACTCCTAGTCAAAATTGAATTTAAGAAAATACTAATTACATTTCTACCCGTAGAAATTTAATTTTAAGTACTCTAGAATCAAATTTGTAATAGTAAGAACTACATTTCAGATATCTGTACATTTTTAATTATTTTAGGTGGCTGTTTTAACATATATTTATTTTTATTTGAGAAATCTTTAACAGTATTCCTCCAATCTAAAATGAACATCTCAGAAAGCTGAAATGTTATTCCTAGTAGGACAAATGATATCACTCATCCCCATTCATGTGTATTGGGCCGTTACTTTCAGATATCCGAAATGACATCACTCCTATCTAAAATAAACATTCTGGATGTCTAAATATTAATTTCAGATATCCGTTATAAAGTTGCTACCGGTCATAATTTTCATTTCATATCAAGAATGAAGAAAACTGCAGATATCTAAAATATCATTTCTGACATTTAAAATATATTTAAGATATTCTTGATATCTTAAATAAAAATTATTATCAGTAATAATCGGATTATTACAAATTTGATTCGAGAGTACATAGAATTTACTGCAATTAGGGATATCTAAAATACAATTCTGACTAGGTGTATTGTAATTGTGACTAGGTAAAATGCTTTAGTGCAATCTATAATAGAAATCTGACTACCGGTAGTCAGCCTGCCTATTTTATGTTAAAACTGTGCCCCATTTCTTTTTTGAATGTTAGTCAAAATATGTTTTTAAGTATTTAAAACTGTATTTTGGATAGGCATTATTGATTCAACTAGTCATATATCAATAGTTGATATCTGTAATTATATTTCTACTAGTAGAAATATATTTTTAGATGTCAAGAATTGGATTTCTGGATACCTGTAATGTTACATTCTTGGACTTAGACTTTAGACTTGGACAGAATTTATTTGCCATTTTGCTTACACAAGTGTAAAACAAAAAGAAAATTAGTTTGGAACAGCTCTCATGACAATTTCATCTTTTTAAAAATACAGCCTTGAAAAATAGTAAAAAGAACAAAAAAAAATCTCTCTCTCTCTCTCTCTCTCTCTCTCTCTCTATATATATATATATATATATATATATATATATATATATATATATATATATAAACATAAACATACATTCATTTATATCTATCTATCTATCTATCTATCTATCTATCTATCTATCTATCTATCTATCTATCTATCTATCTATCTATCTATCTATCTATCTATCTATCTATCTATCTATCTATCTATCTATCTATCTATCTATCTATCTATCTATCTATCTATCTATCTATCTATCTATATATATATATACATTCCTACATGAATTTTTTGATATCTGAAATAGTAATTATGGCTAGTTGTAACTCTATTATAGAGATCTGAAATTACAATTTATCCTAGTCAGAATTCATTTTTAGATACGAAGAATATGTATTTTATATAGGAAAGATGTTATTTTATATTTCTGTAACAATAGAGAGGACCGCGCTTCTATTAAATGTCAACTCAGCCTGCCTTACATTCCCTGCCTCGCGGAAACGCCCCCCCACTACTCAACGCACAACTACTTCACTGCTCATCTCCTAACATCACTGGACACAACGCTGCCACTGCCACGTACTGAGCTTGCTGTCTCTCTAAAACTTATCATTTCATTTAAGGAGATTTATTTTATTCTATTTTTCTCCTCGCAACCTTCTTTCATAATGGGAAGCTGTCTGACGGTGGGGCCAAACAAAGCGTTGGTGATCTCAGGTAGCTTTCCTTCCTTTCTGTGGTGCTGAAGGAGTATGCTATCACACGGATGAAGAAGTATGCTGTCACACGGAAGAAATAAATAAATATTGACTATTATTTAGCTTCCTAAACAACGGCTTCAAGCTAGCAAAATGAGACCTTTGCGTAACTGTTAATCATGGTGACATTTCTGTTTTATTAACCAGAAGATTAGACTTGTTTTAAGGTATGTTAGCTTATTTATCAGGGATGCTAAGGCTAGCTTTGCAGCTACGCTAATATTGATGCGGGTCACGTGACTTAATAAGCTTACTGATCCATTTGCACCTGTGTTCTACTTCATCATGTACGACGGACGTAGCAGGGACAGGCTAGAGATTTTTCTTCTATTTCGAAAATCAATTCGTAATATTACAAGAATACAATATTAGGAGAACAGGGCTGCCAGCTTTTCACCAAACCTTGGAGTGAGATTTTGAAACAATTTGGACATGCATCCTTGTCATTGTTAGATGAGGATAGGTGCAGCTATAGGTTGGAAGTTTTGTTGTAAAATGTTGATATATTTTTTTTATAGCACAGTAAATATTACTGAATAAGAATCAGTGGTCTGTAGTTATGTTGAAAATTTTTCACACACTATCCATTGTTTTCTATATTCTGGGGATTTTCAGAGAACTGAAGTAAAGTATTGGCCCTACTGAAATATTTGCATCTTAAATATACCGTAAACAAAGAATTTCACAACTGTTTATATATAACCAATGGGAAACTAATAATTTATTATTGGATTGCTGATACTAATACTGGAACCAGTGAAATCGAATTCCGTTCAAACTATATTCAGACCTTCTAGGAGGCTGTAGATTAAATAAAAGTGTACCATGACAGGAGACGGTACTTCTGTGGATGTTTTAGATGTTTTTTTGGTAGATGTGATGGAAATGAAGTTTGACAAACAGCCAGATCTCATGCTGGTGCTAAAAGATTTCCTTATCTGTCAAACCAGAGCCAAAGAATAAGTTCACATGATGCACGATATTGTTCATTTTAGTGAAGAAAGTGCTTCTTGCAAAAGTTGTTAAACACAACTTGTTTCTAGTAATTTTACATCTTTATTCTCATAATTTTACGAGTTTATTCTCGTAACTTTGCAACTTTGTTCTTGCAATTTTACAACTTTTTTCTCGTAATTTTAGGACTTTATTTTTGTAATTTAGTAACTTTATTCTCGTAATTTTAAGACTTCTCCTAATTTTAGTAATTTATTCTCTTAATTTTAGTACTTTGTTCTGGTAATTTTTGTTCTGGTAATTTTACAACTTTGTTCTCGTAATTTTACAACTTTGTTCTCGTAATTATAAGACCTCCTAATTTTAGTACTTTATTCTCTTAATTTTAGTACTTTATTCTCGTAATTTTACAACTTTATTCTCTTAATTTTAGTACTTTGTTCTCGTAATTTTATGACTTTATTCTCCTAATTTTAGGACTTTGTTCTCTTAATTTTACGACTTCTCGTAATTTTAGTGTTTTATTCTCGTAATTTTAGTGTTTTATTCTCGTAATTTTACAACTTTGTTCTCGTAATTTTAGGACTTATCGTAATTTTACAACTTCTCGTAATTTTAAGACTTTATTCTCGTAATTTTAGGACTTTATTCTCGAAATAGAAGAAAAAAAATCTCTAACCTGTCCTTAATACTCCGTCGTAATAATTACTACCTACATGTTAATGAGATATTATATAGTTAATATAGAACATAACTGTAACATACAGTAATGTTTAAGCAGTTAGAATGTAATAAAACATTTTTTATTTATTCAGTAATTCCATTCAGTGAATTAAACTCTATCATGCCTGTGTTTTGATAAATTAGTTTTGTCTTTCCCCTTGAAGATTTTGTTTTCTCCTTTGTGTATTTCTATTTACCACAGCTTTATAGATCCCTCTTGACTAATATAGGACTTTAGAGAATGTTTTTCTGTTAAGGTTATTGTTAAGGAAAGAAAGAAAATAGAGTTTTGTTAAATCTGTAGAACTCATTAAATACTCATTTTAGGACTCCATGGAAAATAGTTACACTTTACTGCTTTCCTGCCTAAAACCCTCACAGCTTTTTAAAGTTTGTTGCAGAAAATAAACGTGAAATCGGCCACCTGTTTTTATACAAATATATCTAGATATAAATTGTTTTAGGACAGGGTCATTTTTATCCTTTGCTGTTGCATAAATTGAGTAGATAATGCATGGGTTATTTTATTTTCACATTATGTCTAAAATAGAAGCTTCAATGTTTGTGTTTATTTCAAGGTGTGCACCTGGGAATCATTTATATTTATTTATTTTGGAAATTCAGAATTTTAATTTTTCCCTAAAGATAACTAACAGACAAATCGAAATTTGTCCGTTTTTTTTTTTTTGTAAGATAAATATTTAAAAACATGTTCCACCAGACTCTGATATTTGAAATAAAATATGATTTTATCAGACAAACTTTAAAAAATTTCCATACCGACATTATTGACAGGTTGTTCAATAGAAATTAGTTTAAAAAGCAAATTTTTGTTAATTGTTGTTGTTGATTTCTGTTAAATGTGTGATGACTGTTCTGGTCCCTGTGCACTGCCCCTGCTTTTGTGTTTCCAATTAACATAATTTTTGGCTGTATATTCAGACTAATTTCTCTTCAGATTCTTAAACACATCTGTGGAATCAAATGGCTTAAATCGCTCCCTCTGTTCTTTAGAAACAGAAGTAGAAGCAGTGTAGATAATTAGTGAGTCAATGCTAAATCCCTGTGGTTATTAAATGTTTGTTCTGTTTTTTTTCCCTCATAACAGTTTGTCATCTTGACGCTGTCATTTGTGTTCAGGTGGCTGCTCCGGTTCTAATGAGAAGGTCTACATCGTTGGCGGCTGGGCCTGGGCTTGGTGGTGCATCACTCGTGCTCAAAAGTAAGAGTTGTTTGTTTTAAAAACTCCACAGCTGAGATGAGCTCTCATTGAGGTCACAGTTAACAGAGTGACTAGCCTGATAATCCATTATCTGCAGCCAGAAAACAGGAAGAATCGGTCAGTCCATCATATACAGTTTCATATTTCCATACAGTCGCACTGAAGAGACTGGAAATACCACTCTCTGCCTGTTATCAATATTGACACTTGGTTTGCATACTAAACAAATCTCACCTGTCTTTTGTTGACAGATAATCTTAAGTATGAAACAAGTGCTTGAAAAATATTTTTACTCCTTAAACTATTACCATATGTTGTCATGTTAAAATTGTTAGCCAGAGACGTTTTATTAGTATTTAAGATGTTACTTAAAGTGCATAAATCTAAATAAAGACTAAGGTTACTTGCTTTTTAACTGTTTACATGCATGTATAAACATGTGCGTTCACTTAATCGCCCGGGCGGGCGGCCCAGCTGTGTAAACAAGAGACTGGAGAACAACGCAGAGATGTTGTGTGACGTCTTAGTAGCTTTGGGCAAGTCATATATATCCTATTACAGGTTACCTTTGTTAAAAAAGGAATTGCATGCGAGTCAATGAGTCGATGCAATCAACTGGTTTTCATTAAATAGAAAACTTTGAAAACTTTGAATCAATCTGATGAATCTGAAATAAACTGAATTGAATTGAAATTAGAAAGGAACACTTTTATTTAGTGTTGCGCCGATGCTTTTTTTTCTGGCTCCGATACCCGATACTTGGCTGTGCAGTATTGGCTGATACCATCAGTTTGAAATTGATGTGTGTGTGTGTATATGAAGGACTGCGTGCTACTTGGATGCAGAGGTACTGCATAGGGGTCGTGAAATTTGTTCTTTTTTTACTGTATGTTCCCCCCTGCAATTTTCCCCACTAATTGAAATGATTGTAGATGCACATGAACATGAATTCAACACACTATAGTAAAGCAGTCAGCGACACACAGGAGCTCTTTCAAGGTGGGCAACATTTTCATTCACAACACCTGTCCCATCAACCAGGAATCAGAAATACTTCATGACTCCATATGTGACTATTAGGGGTCTAAATAATAATCGTTTTATATTGATGCGTCGATCCAACAGCCGACGATCCGATGCATCGACACGTCCGCAAAAGTATTGATTCATGTTTTTTTTTCCCCTCCGGTCTATTTTTTTATCCATTTTCTCCTGGGCGTAATTCTCCCTCCCGTGCTGCGGTGCCGCTAAATCTATTTTGCCCTCCTACCGTGCTTCCTGGTTATACTCTTACAGCAGTGTATTGCAGTAAGCTTGACACAGACAATTTTAATTATGCTCAATATTGAAGCGTGGTCTGAGCTACACACTGTGGGTCTAGATATGGCCGAGGCGATAAGGAAGTGGGGGCGAGTTTAGTCCGACGACAGAGGGACATGAGGGCCAAAAAGAGCGGAGATCCAGCTGGAAAAAGGGTCCCAGCGTTCTCACGCACCTCGATCTTCTAGCGGGTCAAACTTCACGAGTTGTTTTCCGCAATTTTGGTCATAAAAACAAAACAAGCCGGCCTCCTGTCTGCTGCGGAGCGTCTGTGGAGGGGGGGACGTCTGGAGACGTCTGAATTGCACTCGTTGCACTGATTTTGTGCAGTATTTTTAGAGTATTTTTTGATGCAACTTTTCTACTTCTGTTATTTGCTGTTGTTTCTCAAGAAAAAATGCATAACGATATTACAGCTTTCATTGATTTATTTATTTTATCTGAAACATTGTCTAGCAAATTAATTGAATCGAATCGTATCGTGGTGTATTCTTGAGTATTGAAAATAATCGAATCGTTGGGTCAGGAAATCGATACTGAATCGAATCGCCATGATGGCTGTGATTTACACCCCTAGTGACTATAGGACCGGTTTGATATAACACCATTTCATATAATATATATAATTAGGGGGTCTCCGCTCCATCTCGCCATCAGTTTGGGGGTCCTTGGCGTGGAAAACGTTTCAGACCCCTGCTGTTAAATGATAAGTTTCTTACTTTCACCAAAATAATCATTTAGGACAAGAGATTATGAAATGAAGGTGCACACAAATTTATGAAAAGCTAAATCAAAATATAAAATAAAAATATAATGATGTAGAATAATTACGCAGCAAAACATTTACACAAGCTCTCATCATGCATCATACAACTCTCTTTCTATGCTTCATTTATTAGCTGTTGAAGATTCAACAAAAAAAAGTCACATTTTTATATAGTGGAAATATTCTATTCCAATATTATTTTTCTAAACATGAATTAGCTCAAGTATGGCCACTTGGAAAATGTTGAACTGAATTTTAACGCCAATTTCCTGTCTTCTTTTTCTTTATTTAAAATGGTCTCCTGACATAAAACAAGGTTCCTCATCTTTATTGAAGCTGAAGGTCTTGTTTTTAGCGTGATTAAAATGTAAAAAGGCCCAAACTTTAAATCTTTGTTTCATCTGTTTGCCCACATCCGCTTGTTTAATGTGGTTTGAACAGTGAAAACAGAATTTTTTTTTTGTCATGTTGGTTAAAAAAAAAAAAGCACAAAATGTCGGTGTTTGTTTTTTAACAGCTTGTAAATCCCAACATCTTTGTTGCTGTATGGTAGATAAAATATAACTGTTATGTATTCTAAATAACTGTTCATTTCAGTACAGCATTGCCATTTGAATCATAAATACTGCACTAACTTCCAGCTATAAACATGTCACCCAGGGCCTGACGTTGTCAGTACCTTTGTTTCCATAAACGCTGTAGTAAACTGCAGGTCTGTGTAAAAGCAGTCATTGAAGCTTCATCCAGTTTTTTGATAGCGGTTTATGTAAAGCAGTAGAATTGCTTCCTCATTTTGGATGGAAGACGTTATCATGATATAAACTGCTTGGCCAAAAAAAAAAAAAAGTCGCCACCTGGATTCAACTAAGCAAATAGGTACGAGCCTCCTATTGGATAACTACTGTATGGGCTATTATCTTTCAGCTGGCAACAAGTTATTTAACCCCAACTGGTGCAATGACTTGCTTCTCATTTCCTAAACAACCATGTTGAAAGACACATCCCGTGGTCGTGGAAAAGATGTTAGACTGTTTGAGAAGGGTCAAATCATTGGCATGCATCAAGCAGAGAAAACATCTAAAGAGATTGCAGAAACTACTAAAATTGGGTTAAGAAATGTCCAACGCATTATTAAAAACTGGAAGGATAGTGGGGACCCATCATGTGGCCGGAAAAAAATCCTGAACGATCGTGATCGGCGATCACTTAAACGTGTGGTGAGATCAAATCGAAGAAAAACAACAGTAGAACTCAGGGCTATGTTTAATACTGAAAGTAAGAGCATTTCCACACGCACAATGCGAAGGGAACTCAAGGCATTGGGACTGAACAGCTGTGTAGCCGTAAGAAAACCACTAATCAGTGAGGCTAACCGAATAAAAAGGCTTAAATTTTCTAGGGAGCATAAAGATTGGACTGTGGAGCAATGGAAGAAGGTAAGGTGGTCTGATTATTCCAGATTTACCCTGTTCCAGAGTGATGGGCGAATCAGGGCAAGAATAGAGGCAGGTGAAGTGATGCACCCACCATGCCTAGTGCCTACTGTACAAGCCTGTGGGGGCGGTGTTATGATCTGGGGTTGCTGCAGTTGGTCAGGTCTAGGTCCAGCAACAGTATGTGCTCAAAGAATGAGGTCAACTGACTACCTGAATATACTGAATGGCCAGATTATTCCATCAATGGACATTTTCTTCCCTGATGGCACAGGCATATTCCAAGATGACAATGCCAGGATTCATCGGGCTCAAATTGTGAAAGACTGGTTCAGGGAGCATGACACATGATTTTCACACATGGATTGGCCACCACAGAGTCCAGACCTCAACCCCATTGAGAATCTTTGGGATGTGCTAGAGAGGGCTTTGCGCAGCGGTCAGACTCTACCATCATCAATGCAAGATCTTGGTGAAAAATTAATGCAACACTGGATGGAAATAAAACTTTTGACATTGCAGAAGCTTATCGAAACAATGCCACAGCGAATACGTGCCGTAATCAAAGCTACAGGCGGTCCAACAAAGTATTTGAGTGAGTGACTTTGGGTGGTGACTTTTGTTTGGCCAGGCAGTGTATTATCATGGTATGTTTCTCCTCTTGCACATGAACATCAATAGAAAAGCTACCCCCCCAAAAAAACTGCATAATTGGAGGTAAATAGATGCTGCACATCTGCAGCTGGTGCAAAATGCTGCTGTTCAGGTAAAAGGAAAAGAGACCACATCACCCTGGTTCTGGCTACCCAAAAATATCCCGCTTCAGGGAAGGATCATCATTTTGCCTAATAGATTTTTTTTATCGTGCATTTTGATTGAATGAAGACTCGTTCCTACAGTGCTTTTGACCCTACCTTGCAGCCACATCCAGTTCCTGTTTGGTTATCATGACACAAAAAGACACAAAAGTTGAGATGAAAATAGTAGCTGCTTTAAATGTTTAGGGGAGGATGTTCTTTTTCCAGATGGATCATCTAATAAGTGACCCTCCTAATTGCCAATCATTCTGGTGATATGTTTACTAGGGCTGCAACAACGAATCGATAAAATCGATAAAAATCAACTTTTAAAAGCATTGGCAATGAATTTCATCATCGATTAGTTGTGTCGCGCGATTAATGCGTCATCCGCCGCCGCCGTCATCACATCCACTTGACTGAAACTGAGGAAGAAAAAAAGGCCCAGGCCCTGCGCCGCAGGTGCAGGGTTGCCAACTCAGCGACTTTTCAGACCCCTCCAGCGACTATTTTTCAAAAAAGTGACTAGTGACAAATCTGGCGACTTTTTACGGTGTCACTGGCGGCTTTTGGAGACTCTTACGTGAAAGCATGTATCGTTCCTACTCTGCCGTGGGGCGCCTCCATCATCCCAACCCCGTTCTCCCGCTCCCGCAGGAGTCCCTCTCAGCGCTCCAGTCAGAGCCGCAGGATGTTACCCTCAGCATCCAGACTGCAAATGAAGCGCACATGCGCCGGGATTGACGGCGCAAATTGATCACAATAATTAAAATAGCCTGCGCTTTGTAAAGTGAAAAAAGTCATAACATGCAACTTTTGTCAAAACAAATGAACATGGCACGGAACCACCACGTTTGTTTCGTTTAAAGTGGGGAAACGTAACGTTAGTTTCTCAGGTAGCTCATGTGATGCTTTCCTTAACGTGTTGGTAGGTTACACACAGTGATAAGTTGGCTACTTATTTTACTTTTTATTTCATTTGAATTAGCTTAAGCAGCGTTTATATTTTCTTTATAAATAAAGTAACTTGCAAAATTATGAGGGCAAGGCTTTTAAAGTTTAAATCTTCTGGCAAAGATAAAGTAAAGAAGATCCTGCAATTTATGAAAGTAAAGCAGAATAAAATCCAGCAAGATCAGTAATATGTCAATTAATTATATGCCGCATTCCCATGTAAAAATCTGTCTTTGGAGGATGTGTTTTTTAGCACCCCTAGTTCTCTTATTTTTATTCCAAATACAATTTATAATTTGAATCACAGGGCTGTTTTTATCTCTATGGTTCAGTATTTTTTCAAGTAGCAACTTTAACTGCTATACTTTCCTGTCTTAAAAGGCAGAACTCTTCTAGTCTAAAAAAAAAAACCTCATTTGTTGAAATGGGGGGGCCTATTGTTTGTTCCCCTTAGGGGCTTTTAAAAACAAAAATGTCTTTTTTTGCACTTTATGAAACAAAGTACTCTATATTTTGTGGATGTACAGCTACATTTCTCATGTAAGTTTGCGTAGTTTTAACACAAACATTTATTTTTCATATTGCACCAGTACAGTTGATGAGCAACCTGTACTTGTGTGCTTGTTTGTTCTGTCTAAAATGTTTATTTTGGAATAAAGAGGTTAATATAAAAAATATTTTTTGTGCGATTCATCGATTCATCGAAAAAATAATCGGCCGATTCATCGATTTTTAAAATAATCGTTAGTTGCAGCCCTAATGTTTACATAAGGCCGGCCGTCTGACATAGTGGAAAAATTGCTAATCTTTTGGATCTAAACTTGTATGAGCGACGCAAATAGCAACTTTTAAACAGAGCACGAATAGAAATGGGCTCGTGAACGCTCTCGCACGGCTGCAATAGGCGTTCCCTCTCGGGAGCGGGTTAAGGTGTTGTGGATGAGCCTTTTTCTTTTAAAGTGGAGAGGGCGGGTCTTTTAAAAAATTTGCAAAAAATCCTTCACTATACGTTTAAACTACATCATCTGTGTGGGTTTGATATTAGTTTTGCATCAGTCGGTAACATAACAACTTGGGAAAAAAACAAAACTCATCTTTGAAGAAAAATGCTTTAAATTTGGACAAAAATGAGTGTGTCTAATCTTTGTAAGCTAAATATATTGGTTTGGCATTAATGTTGTGCTAATGGACCACAAAACATAAAGGTAATTAATTTGTGTTTATAAACCCCAAAATCCCACATCCTCCCTCTCTCCGCCCCGCTGTGCTCCAGATCTCCTGCACAAAGCAAAGCCTACAGCCTTCATTGTTCCTCCCATCCTGCTCCGCTCCAACTTCCTTGGAGCTCCAGGAGATCATGCGCAATATTATTATTGAATTCATAGGAGCAAAATATGCTGAAATTAACGCTTAATTTAATATGACTTATTTAAAAAAATCCCCATCAGCATCCAGCATATGTGCGACTTTCCAGTTGAGCGAAAAATTTTCGATCAGGCCCACTTTTAGCCTGATTGTGCGTCGTGTAATGCACAGTGGTTAACGAGCGGCTTTCAGCCTCTTATGACCACCTCCCGATCAGGAATCGTGAGGTCGGGAGAAAATCAAACATGTCTTCTTCTTCCTTCTCTGAGATGGAAATACAGAAGCATGGCGGGGTTGCGACTGAAATGGAGTTCTTTCTGTAAAACTGACAGACCGCAGTAGCCACATTTGCTCAGCCATGTATTTATCCAAATAAGCTGCCGCCTTTTCTTTTTAGGGCTTTCAGCACAAAATGCACAAATTGCCAAGGCAGCGCGTTTCACTCTGGTGAGTTTCATATTCCTCTTCTACTGGTTTGGCTTCCGGATAGACGAGTCCGAGTAGCGCCATCTCACTGCAGAGCCGAGTCTGACATGGTTTTTAGACGTACAGTGTGATCAGGTAGATCGCATCAGAGCGTCTGGCCACACAGTTTAAGAACATACATCGTGAGCTGTGAACTCACACTTTATGACGAGACCCTGCGGTTTCGTTGTAGAGTGTGAGCTGCGTGCAACGATTGAAAAAATTTCACAGTGCATGCCTTAACAGGAATAACTAGGAACACGCATGGTTTGTATGAGCTATGTTTGTTCTCTACCTCCAAAATCAGCATCTATTCATCCATTCCTGTAATAAGAAGTTTCTTTTGACCGGATTTGATTCAACTTTTAAGCCTCTCTCTATTAAATAAATATTTTGATGGAGATGAGAAATCTGCTTCCTGGTATGTTGAAGAACCAATAGTTTGCATCCAATCTTTTAAATAAACAGTTTTACCGACAGTTACTGATCTGTCTTTACTATATTTTAATTTGACAAACCGAATCTTCTCGTCATTCTTTTTCTTGTTTGGTGTGATTGCTATACTGACCTGGCCGGACTGAAGCGGAGTAAAAAATACCTAGGCTCAGTGTTTGGACGTTGACGGACGGAGAAGATGTACAAGGACGGTGACATGTGGAAGAGTAGCTGTGGATGTGGAACAGCTCTCATTGATTAACAATGACAGACAAATACTCCGCCTGACGTACGTGCGGAGCGCTGCCAGAGTGTGTGGAATCTGGTGGTAAGATATTTATTATCAGTGCGCGTGGTCCCAGAAATAACTTGAATCTGACAAAAGTACTAATAGATTTAAATTTATATGAATTCTAACATTTGGCACCAACATCATCTCTGGGATTGCTCTACTCACCATGGCTGTGTTGCTATCAGTGCCGATGTGCAGCTGTTTCAACTAATGGTTTACTGTTTTGAAAACTCTGGGCTTTCTAAAGTTTTCTCACATTGAAATTAGACGTTCATTTTAACAAACATGGGTCAAAAGAATCAGAACCTTCAGATGAATCAGTTCAGCAAATAAAGCCTTGGACACGATTCTGATGGAGCTTGATGATGATGATAGATTACGGTTTCTGAATGTGTAAAGCTTCTCCATCTTGTTCTCCTGCCTTGTTTAGGTTGAGTCTGGAGATCATGACTCTGCAGCCACGATGCGAGGATGTGGAGACGTCGGAGGGAGTCGCCATCACTGTGACAGGCGTGGCCCAGGTCAGCACATTATCCGGTTTTTACTTCCTGCATGAATTATGTGTTTAATCTGCATTCTTTGTCTGTCTTCTTTCATTATATTTATTCAGTTTATATCCCGTTGTTCTGTTGGAGAAATCAGTGTTTTTAAAAAGGCCACTTCCCAGCCTTTTCTAGCATACAGACCTTAGATCAAAATTGTAGGCCAACATATAAACCTTTGCAAACATAATCAAGTTTAAAAATTGAACTAAATTTCCTTAAAGAAGTCCATCCATGTTGCTTCAGACTTTGAACACGAGCTGATTTAAAAAGAAATAAGTGGGCTTCAACTCTCAGCTGGGTCAAGACCAAACCTCAGGGTCAGTATTAGAGATATTGGAAGAAATCAGATCTTATTTGTCATCAGATGGACAGAAAATCTTTGAAAGATGAGTTATAGTGTTTTACTAAAGTGTCTATAGGAAACGTGATTTAAAAAGTTTTCACACCATAAAATAAACTGTGGTAAAATCAACTGCAATAAATCACAAGTCTAAAACTTTTAAGGTGTGATTTTTTTTTTCAGTTTAACTGTCTATTTTATTGTGTATTTGAATTTAACATCAATAAATCTTTATTTTTTTATTAACTCTAAATAGGTCATTTATCCACTCCATTACTTTCTTGGAACCCTGTAATTACAGTAATCCCCCACACAAGATCTACATCCAGCCATTCAGCAAAGACACTGCTACATGGCTGCACAGTAGCACATATTATTTTAACATTTGTCCAACTAGATGAGCGCTTGAATGATACTTACTATAAATTAAGTTGAAAAAAATGTTAAAAAGTCAAGGAAAAAATGTAAAAAGCTAATTGAAAAGTTACAAAGTAAAGTTTAAAAGTTAACAAGTTAACAATTATATTTGGGTTTATAAACTAAAAAAATATAAGTGGCAGTATCAGCATTAATGCCTCTAAGGTTTTGTTGGACCAAAGAAATTTTTAAGTTGGAAAAAAAAAAAAAGTTATCAAGTTAGAAAAAAAAGGGGAAATGCTCTGTGGTGCAGTGGGTAGCACTGCTGCCTTGCAGCAAGAAGGTTCAGGTTTGATTCCCAGCCTGGGGTCTTTCTGCATGGAGTTTGCATGTTCTCCCTGAGCATGCGTGGGTTCTCTCCGGTTACTCCGGCTTCCTCCCACAGTCCAAAAACATGACTGTTAGGTTAAATTAAGTTGAAAATTAAGTTATCAACTTAAGAAAAAAAAGTGAAAAGTTAGAAAGTTAATAAGCCTTGTTTACAATTATATTTAGGTATATAAACTAAAAATCTATGTCTACTATTTTAAAGTAGCAGGCTTGTTGTCCAGAGACGTTCAGAAAACTTTAAGTGCTGCCGCTATTAATTATTTTAGTGATCGATTTAATCTTCGGATTGTATTTTTATTTAATTTAATATACTTTTACTATATCGTTTATAAAAAAAAAAAAAAAACCTTTAGGGAAAATAGAAACGCAAACCTTTTGTGAACTTTAAACATGTTGTAAATGGCCTAAACAGGTTGAAATATTAAATATACATAATACAAATAAAAACCAATTACTTTTAATCCTAAATGGAAAATGTTTACATTTTTCTAGATTCTGGGTTGTAAATAGCTGAGAATTATGTTGATATTTCATTGTTTTTGCTCTCGTTTACAGCAACGTTCAGGAATGTCCTCTAATTTGAAAATAGTTGCTAAAAGGCGTGATTGTTCCAAACAGTTTGCATAAATGAAGAAAAGGATGTTAGTCTGAGCTGTGAGATCAGCAGTGTTGGGTTTTCTCTGTTTCTAAATGGCTTCGTCTCCGTCTCTCCCTCAGGTGAAAGTCATAAAAGAGCAAGACCTGCTGGCTTTAGCATGTGAACAGTTCCTCGGTAAAAGCGTCACGGAAATCAAAGCTTTGCTGCTGCAGACGTTGGAGGGACACCTGCGCGCCATTTTAGGTCTGGATAACTGCCGTTATGATTAAATGTCAAATCATTCTTGCTTTAAAAAGTATATAAATGTGCTCTTTATCAGATGATATTGTCCCAAAATATAGAAGATTTCTATAAAAAAAAAAAACAAATCCTGTCTTAAAATCTGTGTTGTTTTTTTTTCTCTTTATTTTATGCAGGCCAGTTAGTTATACATCAGCCTGTACACCTAAATCATACATCAATGATCAAATCAATAACATTTTTTCTGTCATAGCATCTTGATACATATATAGCAGCTAATATACGCAACGACTGAAATAAGAAATAAGAATAATTTACTTTCCCATTGAGTTACGTCCCAGTATTCACAATAAGAAAAAAATGTATGATGGAAGAGACTCATCCACGACCTCTGACACAAAACTCTCCTCCTCTTGCATGTTTCCTCTGTCCATAGCGTTCCTTGACAGTGTCGTTTCTAAGTCACCAATTTAGTGCTACTTGGTCCCAATGGAATTTCCCATTGGGAACCTGCTAGCTCTAAGTTGCTAACTGGTTAGCAAGATGCTTCCCACAAATCGGCCACAATCAAACTAGTTTGCGAACCTTCCACCACAACAATCCCGCCCCCTTGATAAACGACCAATCACATTCATTTTAATAACCCGTGTAAAGTCGGGCACCACTTGGGAGAATTCGGGAGAAATGGTTGGAACAGCCACTTCCCTACGACTTTAAGCTGAGCGTCATCTACACTCAGTTAGGTTTGCAGCAGGGAGGTAGCAGCCAGATACCGTAGAAAGCTCTACTAAAATAATTTAAAGTAAAATATTGTATTGAATCTGTGTTGATTCCAACATACTTTTAACTACAATTCTCATCATTAAAGGTTACTTGAAACATTCAGCTCCCATCATTGAGTCTGGCCAAAATCTACTCTGTTTTTATACCTCGTTCATTTTTAACTTCTCTCTTTAGCTAAAAGATGTTAGGGATTTAGATCACTGATATGAGCTGCTGATCAACACAGAGGGAGAAAATGAGGCTCGGTTTGATCCAAAGAAAATCAAATATGAGTTTGACTGACGGTTGTTTTTTCTGTTTCTCAGGCACCTTGACTGTGGAGCAGATCTATCAGGACAGAGACCAGTTTGCCAAACTGGTGCGGGACGTTGCCTCTCCTGATGTGGGCAGGATGGGCATCGAGATCCTCAGCTTCACTATAAAGGTCGGTGGAAGATGGAGCACAGAGGAGCAACGCTGGACGACAGCTGATATCTCATTCAAAAAATCTGCTTGATTTATTTCAATATAAGATTTATCCAAGAAAGGCTTTTAGGAAATAGTCTTAAGAGCTGAAAGGAGGGGGTAAGGTTCTGTCCTGCAGAGGACTGTCTCTAAAACACCTGAATCAAACGGCTCAGTTCCCTACTTGTTTTCAGTCGATAAAGTAGAACCCAGGCAGAGATTTTTGTTTGATTTGGGTGCTGCAGGATTGTAAGGATAAATGTTTAAAATAGGGCTGCAACTAACAATTATTTTTGCAAATCGATCAATATGTCAATTATCTTTTCGATTAATTGATTAATAATCAAATAGCCAAAGATTCCTTAAGGAAGATATTTTACCAATTTAAACCAGATGAAAATAAAAGTTTTCCATTGGAATTCTGAATAGAGAATATTGACAGATGAAAGTTTTTTTTTTTTCTTAAATCCCAAATGTTTACATATTTTTTACAACATTGGTATAGGTACTGCTCTAAATGGGTTGCTCCGTCAGCTTCAGGCCTGTTTTACACTCTGTATTCCAGTTAATGATTAATCCATTAACCTAATTAGTTGACGATCATTTCAATAATCAATTAATCACGATTAATCCAATTAGTTGTTTTAGCCCTAGTTTAAAACCAGTCATAAATACCCTCCCTGACAATAAAACTACGGCCATTAAAAATCCATTTATTTTGTTTGTCAAAATAGTTATTTTACCCTAAATAATTATGATTTATGAATATTCAATTATGAATTTGTTTATAGCCGTCCTTAAAGGATGTCACTGTGTTGCCATAACAACGGATACTTTCCAGCTGTTTCTCAATTCACAAGAACGTGAGTATGGACTTGTGTCCTCGCCAAGTATGTTCTTGAGAAGATCACAGGAAAGTGTAAGTAGGAGTCAATGGGAACTGAAGCGTACTCGTGACGTCACCACATGCCCGGCTCTTCTAGAGCTGCATTTCCCCTCCTGTTATTAATAGCCTCTAGGTAATAATACATTTTCATTTATTGGGGGAATAATAATTAACACAGTCAGATAAACACAAATCAAATGAACATTTTGCCAAATAAAACAAAAATATCTCCATCAGAGCCAGCGGTCCTTCACACACGGCTATGCAGAGAGAGGGCTGCTGCAGACGGGCTGCCGTTACCCTCGGAAGTCTGCTGGTCGCCACGGTCCTCTCAACTTCGGAACATTTATTTATTTATTTTTATTATGCATTAAATTGGTAAATGAACCATAAAGTGACACTTAAAAGTATAATATTCTCGCCTCAATCTAAAAATGTACTTTTATTGAACAACAGCAAAGAGAACTTTTAACTTAATACTCTGAGCTCTGTGAGCGCTCCATTGAAAGCTGCTGCTGCCGCAGTGCATGCTGGGACAGCTGTCAATCTCAATAACGGACAAGTCTGCTGCGATGCATGCTGGGTAAATAGGGGGGGGCTAGAACAACATCCGAGGACTTTGTTCCTTCTCGATCTGCTGTTCTTGTGAATTGGAGCAATACTAGGACTGAGGCTGATGATGTTTCACGAGCACACGAGAGCGCACAAGTACACATATTGAGAATCAATGCGCCCTCCACAGAGCGACTCAATAATGGGGATTGGGCCAAAGATGGAGGAAGAAACTTCGGAAAGGGAAGGAGGGACGGCGCCCCCTGGGAGAAGCAGCAGAAAACCTACATCTGTTTAGCTTTAAAGCTTTTAAAATTGCAAAGTTTTATAAGGGCAGAAGGGAAAACGTGTGGAGCAAATACTTCTGCAGAATGCAAACAACCAACACCTTCATTATGTTGCTAAATATTACACAGATGGTGGGATTGATTTAACAAGAATTAATGGCTAATTCATTTTAATTCTAGAAGCCATTTTAACTCCTGATCTCAACAGGCTAAAACAGTAAAAAAGAATCACTGTGGTGTGTAAACAAAGAGGGCTGAGAGCCAATTGATGAGGAATCTATGCATTGATATCAGGTGAATGAAGGATGTTAAAAAAGCAGGCAGAGACAAGAGAGCGACGCCCCCTCAGCTGTTTTACTGTAATCTCGAACCAAGTTTTTTTTACTTTTGTTTTCTAGGATGTATATTAAGAGCTGATGAAACTTCTGATTTTGTTTTTTATTGTTTGCAATATCAAGGCTTGGGAGGAAAAAATTGTTTATTTTTAGGCCACGTTGCCCAATCCTACCAATGATCATTAGGGTATTGCTTAATCTCAGGGGTAACAGAAAGGACGCCTCTCTGAAGTGAATCCCAGAAATCTTTCTAAGCCCAATAAAAATAGTTTTTAATGAAACAAATACAATAAAATAAACCCCTCAAACTGCTAGCTAGCAGCTAACTTAGGCATCTTTACTCATAATCCTCATTATTCACAACATAAACCAAATGTTTATTTTTCATATTATCGAAAGTGCAGCATATTTATTTCTTTGCAGATTTGATTTACATTTGATAGATAAACAGTTCAGCAGCTGTGCAACAGCAAGATGAACGTGTCTTCGCTCAGTGGGACTGAGACGTTACCCCTGCTGCTGTGTTTTCCCAGGATGTCTACGATAAAGTGGACTACTTGAGCTCCTTGGGGAAGACTCAGAGCGCTGCGGTCCGGAGGGATGCAGACATCGGCGTGGCTGAAGCAGAGAGGGATGCTGGGATACGGGTAACCGGACACCTTCTGTTCCAGAGATGTTTGTTTTTATTCCACTGATTAAATCTGACCCCCGCCTTGTTCTGTCCTCCAGGAGGCCGAATGCAAGAGGGAGATGATGGATGTGAAGTTTTTGGCGGACACCAAGATGGCCGACTCCAAACGAGAGCTGGAGCTGCAGAAAGCTATGTTCAACCAAGAGATCAACACCAAGGTATATATATAGTTAAATAAAGGGAAAAACATGAAAGAATACATTTAAATTTGGCTTCTTCAGGACATCAGTTGCATAAAAAAGTTGATTTATATCGATAAACATTTTGCAGTAACCAAATTTAATCACATTCTTCAAATGTGTCAATCAATCAGTGGAAAAACAGAAGAAAGATAAATGTAAAACTAACAATGCTACTAATTTTTAATTATTTGTTGTTTAGGATAATTAAAATTACAAATCCTGATTAGAAACATCATGACAATGCTAAACAATGAATTCCCCCCATCCTCATCATAAATAACCATTATTTTGCTGCTCAATATTCTAGCTTTTTAAATTATAACTGAGGGCATGCATTATTGTAAAAAATAATTTTTTTTTACTAAGAAAATAGAAAATAACATTTTAGAATCATGACCTAAATTTTTCACTGTTCACTCCTCAGATATTCACTTTCTTTATTTTTAAGCATGTTAGCCATTTAACTGACATCGTTGGAAAGCTTAGATTCTCCACAATTCAACCACCAAGATCATTTAATGGACACAGCGAGCACCGAAGCACAATTAACAGAAATAGCAGCATGACAAAATGTGAACCTGACAAAGCAGCCACAACTACATACCTTTGAAGGTATCCAGAAGCTGTTTTATAATTCCTATCTTCAATTGTTTATACTCCATTCGTCCATAAGGGTCTACAGATTCAAAGTAATCCAGCATATTCCTAATAGAAATATTCCATGATGAGAAAATTGCCATATAACCTCCGGTTTTTGACATCAAAAAAGTTAGCTGGTCATAGCTAATTCTTAGCAACTTGCTAATATTTACCTTCTGATACTTATTTCCTCAGATGTTTGCTGGCGATGTTTGGTATGGTTCTTTACATCATCTTCTTACACAAAGAAAAAAGTTTCAGCATCTTTGTGTGACTCGATTTGAGTCAGAGATAGTCGCTGTAGTCTCACAAGCGCTCCTTGCCTGTCAGCCAATGACGAACCGAGTAGAGCGATATTACGCCTCATAGAGTCCTGCTGTTGTTGGTTAAGACCATGTGGGCTGTTTGGCTTTGAAGCCAATGAAATAAGGTTTCAAACTAGGCTAGACATGGCTGGGTTATATAAAGCAGAGCCGTGTTACCGGCTTGCGGCAGTTTGAAGATGAATTATAGCTTAATAATAATAACTCCGATATTTTTGAAGTTCAGACACTGATTTTGTTTTATTACAATGCTTACGGCTGAAAATAAAAATAAAAATGCATGTCAGAAAAGGCACTGGGGCTTATTTTATCATGAAAAGCAGCAGTTTCACTATTTTTTTTAATAGATTTTAATGTTATTGTAGGTTTATAAATGATACATTTTGTCATATTCACTGATTCTTGCCTCATAGTTGCCTCATAAAATTTTTGTGGCCATCAAAATGTTTCAGTGTTATTCTGTGGGTCAAAGAGTTGAGGAAAAGCATTTGGCATAATCTAGCACATTTAGAGAGCTTGGGCCTCACCCAGTTTTCATTTATATATTCTGAAACTAGAAGGTGTGAGCTTTCCAATAATGTACCACACATGTAATTTAGACTTGCAGTTCCTAAGTTATTTTCTTTTCCATTTGGGTGTCCAAAATAGGTGAGGATTACTTCAAAATGAGGGGGACGTTAAGAGGATATGTGGGAAAAAGTGCTGTGAACACATGAAGTCTCCTTCAGACTTTGTCATTTTTTTAATTTGCTGCACATTTTTGAACTTTTTTCTCTTGCTTATTTTTTTATTTTTTTTTGTTGTTGCATTTGTTGTGTTTTTTGTGTGTTATTGTGTTTTCCGGTTTGTATCATTCATGTTTTTGCAACTTGTGTTTACACCTGTCAGCCACTGTAGGCCTGTTAAAAGTAGATTTTTCTCCATGTCCTGTTTCCAGAAAGCCGAGGCCCAGCTGGCCTATGAGCTCCAGGCAGCCAAGGAGCAGCAGAAGATCCGGGCAGAGGAAATACAGATTCAGGTTGTGCAGAGGAAGAAGCAGATCACCATTGAGGAGAAGGAAATCGACCGAAAGGACAAAGAACTTGTTGCCACCGTGAAGAGACCCGCTGAGGCCGAGGCCTACAAGATGCAGCAGCTGGCTGAGGGGCAGAAGTCAGTGAAAACACCTTCGGTAGATCTTTCAACTGTCTTCGTGGGTTTTAATGATGTGCATATTTCCATCAGGATAAAGACGGTGCTGATCGCTCAGGCCGAGGCGGAGAAGATCAAGATGATCGGAGAGGCTGAGGCTTCCCGCATAGAAGCAGTGGGGAAAGCCGAGGCCGAGAAGATGAGACTGAAGGCTGAAGCCTTCCAGCAGTATGGAGAGGCAGCGAAGAAGGCTCTGGTTCTGGAAGCTCTGCCCAGGGTAACTCATCCGTACCAGCAGAACGGCAGCTTTCATTTAATGTGATAAAGCAACATGTTCAACTGTGTTTGCAGATTACTTCAAAGGTGGCGGAACCGCTAGCCAAAACAAACGAGATAGTTATCCTCAGCGGGGAGGGCAGCCGTGTGACTGGAGAAGTCAACCGCCTGCTGGCCGAACTTCCTGTGTCCGTCAACGCCCTCACCGGGGTGGATCTGTCAAAGGTTTGTTATGCATGTCATACGGAAGAGAGGCGGAACATGTCTGCCCTGTAATTAGGAATCACTCTCTTCTCAAACTGGTTGATTGAAGGGAACACACAGTGAACTTCCTGACCTGCCTGCAAACGACCCTCTGCAGAGGATCGCTAACTCTGAGCTAAACCGTAAACGCTCCACCCCCCATGTAAGGCATGGTGGGGACAGAATCATGCATAGCTGAATTAAAAACTATATCTGTTAACTACATTGCTGTTGTTAAAACATGGTTAATATGCAACAACTGTTAAACCTTTTTTTTATGAAAAACATCTATGAACTTATACAGTGCCTGAATCCACATCGCCTACATTTAATTTGACCAAAAAGACAGTAATCAGAGGAACAAGCATTAAGAGGTGAATTAGTGATTCATGCTAGGTAGTGATTAGGTAATCATTTTAGAGCAACAATTTCAGGTGGACTGGATTAAAAACTATATTCACATTGTGGAGAAAAAAATGTTGAGATATGTCTGTTCTTCACACAGCCTCCCTCATGGCATGAAGGGGAGGACTGTTGTTCTGAGGAAATCCATCTGGCCAGTGAAAGATATGTTAACCTAAAAGGGAATGGCCTTGATGAATAACAGTTGTTTTTCTTTCAAATGTCATGTGTAAGAAAGTTTTTTATGTAGGGGTGGGATAGTTCCAAGGGAGAGTGTGTGTGTGTGTGTATAGGGAGTCATTGTATAAATGTATGTCCTGAGCTGGCCCCAGTCAGAGCTCTATCTCTCCATCTGAGGACGTTAAATACATTTGAATATTCTCTTGCAATAGTGTCAGCTTCCTCCTAAACTCCACAACATCCTGCTTTATAATCCAGGGCCGAATCACTGGCAACTTTGTTTGAAGTGGTTTATGAAGATCCAGATTATATGGACAAAATCACAAAGTTAGCAACATTGGATTGTTATCTCTATTGTTTTCCTTCACTACTGAGAGCAGCGCAGCGCCTTGTAGCCACTGGTTAGCTTCATACATTAGCCAGCCTCACAGCAAGCATGCAAATAGAACGTAGGCTATAACATATGCTTTTCACTGTTTTATAATATTATTTATATTTTTGAGGTGCAGCGTCTTTTAAAACTCCACTTTTAATACTTTTATAGAGAAACTGCTTCTGCATTTAGTCCAGTCCCGCCTTTCTAACTGCCCAAGCTTATGTGACAGCAGGTGATCACAACAGCAGCCTCTGCTAACAGTAGCAGGTTCTACATCACTTGAGTTGGAGCAATGTCGGCTGAATTTAGGTTAAAATCTGAAAATGACATTGCAGCTGAGTTCGATAGTTTCCATCCATCCATTTTCTGTCAAGCAATCCCTGCTGGGGTCGCGAGGGTTGCTAGTGCCTATGTCCAGCTGTCAATAGGCAAGAGGCTTTGAAAGTTTCTAATTTATTAATAATAGTCTAATCTTATTATTTTACATTTTTTAAGTATCTGTAACCCATTAGTTAATTATAAATGTTGCTTTCTGTTGTCTATATTGGTTCACTGGCTTAAATCTATTCAAGCGTTTCACTCGTCATGTCTTTCCAACCACAAAACAATTAATAATGGTTTAGTTCATTACTTTTATGCAACATTAGTTTGTTGGGACACCTCTAGTTTTTTCCTTGAGGGAACAAGTAGGGCAGAGGTCACAGATTAGTGGACCGGGGTGCGGATCCAGACCCACCTGCTTGCTAATCCGGACCCAACCTGAATTAAAACATTTATAAATTACCGCATGTTGCCTGACAGCAGTGTCTAACTTCACTTGTTCTGCTTCTCCGGTTAATATGGTAAAGCCATTCATAGCGTACGGCACCAGGCTGCATGTGATACAAATTAGCCAATGAGCTGTTGTCATCTGGGTTGCTGCTGCTGCTACTTTTAGACACAGCAGGCAAACCTTTGGCAAGCGGGGGGATGGGAAAGAAGGAGAAGATGATGAGAAAAAGAGAGCAGAGAAAGTTTTGACTGCTGGAAAAAGCGCGGTGATCTGGTGACAGAAGCATTCTCCACCATGAATATATTAAAAAATAAATATGGATCCAGGGTCATGAATGAGCACCTTTATATGTGCTTGAGAATGGCTTTGTCGCCATTCAACCCCAGGTTTAAAAATCAACGTAAAGCCCACTTCTTTTATTAAGCCATAAAAAAAAAGGAAAGAAAGGGGAGGGGAAAAAAGGTAAATTCTTTGCATGTTTCCTCTGTCCATAGCGTTCCTTGACAGTGTCGTTTCTAAGTCACCAATTTAGTGCTAATTGCTCCCAATGGAATTTCCCATTGGGAACCTACTAGCACTAATTTGCTAACTGGTTAGCAAGATGCTTCCCACAAATCGGCCACAATCAAATAGTTTGCGAACCTTCCGCCACAACAATCCCGTAAATTCAGGTGTTTTATAAAAGATATGAAAGCCAGGAAATCGTCTATATACCGCACAATGATAGATTGTTTCAAAAAGCACTTTAGATTTTAAAATGGAAAAACCTTCTATTTTTTTGTTATTTTTTTTAATTGAATAATCAAAGTATAACATGAATGTATAAACACCTGCATTTTATTTCAGTGTTAAAGTGTTAGGGAAATAATGTTGATTAAATGTCAAATAAAGTCATCATTCTGGCTTAAACATGTATATAAATGTACTCTTAATCAGATATTATTGCCCCAAAATGTAGAAAATTCCTAAAAAAAAAGAAATCCTGTCTTAAAATCAGTGTTTTTATCAGTATCTAGTAAAGGCCAGTTAGTTATACATCAGCCTGTCCACCTAAATTCGGCCAATCATATATCAACGATCATCTGCCCAGACAGGGTGTCTAAGTCTTTGACTAAAGGAGCTGCTCAGCACCAGACTGTAGAGGAGCTGAGCAGCTCCTTTAGTCAAAGACTTAGACACCCTGTCTGTAAGAAGGAGCGCTACCGCAGGTCATTCATTCCTGCTGCCACCAGACTCTATAATAATGCACTATAACAACAATAACTCCTGTAAAAACCACTGTGCAGCTTCATTTTTATTTATTGACTGTGAACAATATCCTTTGCAATACGCTGAATGTGCAATATTTCTCCCCCTGTATATTAGCCATCCGGATTGTACATATTTTTTATTTCTTATTTTCTTATTTTTTTATTTTGTTTTCATTGTGTGCGATACAGGTACACTTGCACCTTAATCCTATTTATCTTGATATACTGTATATACCTGGATATACTGTATATATATTGCTTATTCTTAATGCACCTTTTCCTCCCTGTTTGCACCTTCTGTAACTTCTATGCCAATATGTGACGAGTGAATTTCTCCGCTCTGAGATCAATAAAGCTCATCTAATCTAATCTAAATCTAATCTAACAATCAAAATTTTTCGGTCATAGCATCTTGATTCATATGTTGAAGCTAATATATGCAACGGTTGAAATAAGAACTAAGAGGATGGACGTCTGTGTCTTCAGCAGGCGTAGAGCTAACAGAACTGGCAGCGTTGCGAGGCAAGGGCTCAAACATGTACGGCTGGAAGCCTTCTACACCAAACCAAGCTTCTGCCGCCCTGGGGTCCTCTTCCACAACATCTTCATCCCCGCTTTCCTCCTCTAAATAAAAAATGTATGATGGAGGAGACTCATCCACAACCTCTGACACAAAACTCTCCTCCTCTTGCATGTTTCCTCTGTCCATAGCGTTCCTTGACAGTGTCGTTTCTAAGTCACCAATTTAGTGTTAGTAGGTTCCCAATGGAATTTCCCAATGGGAAATTCCATTGGGAACCTACTAGCACTAAATTCTCCCACTCGGGAGAATTCAGAAATACAATGGTTGGAACAGCCGCTTCGCTACTACTTTAAATAATGTTTTAAAGTAACGTTTTTTTTTTTTTTTAAATGTCTCTGGACCTTTACTGGTTGTTGTTTTTCTTTTTTTGGACACCACTGATTTTTTATTAGTGACCCCTGAAGTAGAGGAAGAAAGTGTCAACTAAAGGATAGACCTTTTCAGAAATCTTAGCTTCTGAGAAGCTCAGGTCGCTAAACTAATTGCTTCCATTCCTTCCTCAGATCCCTTTGCTGCAGAAGATGACCGGCACCGAGGCCTGAACGTCCAGGACGCCACGCCGTCCAGTCTCCACCGTATGCACTCTCATAGACTGCCTTTGATACGTGTCGCTTTTTCTACCTATTCTCTGTAAAACCAAGAGGATTCTGGTTACCTCTGGTGCCTTATTTTACACAGGGCCAGAAAGATCTGCATGCACTGTTGCTCGCTCTAGCTACTAATTTATCAGGGTGAAAATCAAACCACGGGGGCTGTATGTTTCATCCTTAGGCTGACCCGATGGTACAATACCTGCTGAATCTGATCCAGGTTACAATTTTTATTGTGACTAATTTATTTAGCTATTTATTTCCTCATATTTTTCATATGAAGGAGCTGCTGTTGTTACTGTGGTACGATCTGCATGTTGCAGGGATTTTTCTTTATATACCTCTCATTTTAGACATTTTTGGGGATTTGTGTAAGAGTTCATTTAGTTTCAAATTTGGTCAGTTTTATGAACTTGGTGCTTTAAGTGTCATTAGTTGATTCTTTTTAACATAAAAAGGTGCTTGAATTCTTGAAAAGGCCATTCGAGTTGAGCTCTGAACTGTTTTTTTTCCTTCTGACTTCCTTCTAACTTTATTGATAACAAAGGTTTTTGCAGAAAATAAAACAGGTAGAAAAACTCTAAACACTGTCTGCTAGTGACGAGGTTCTTCAGTGTTTGGAGACGATCTTAACTTGAAAGTGTGGCTGCACTGAAGAGTGCATAACTTAAATCTAAGGGACGGAAAGATGGAAATAATTTAGGGGAATTCTGTCAAGGAAATGTCAACATAAACGCCGAAATGGCTCTGCCAAATTGGGAAGGTTTGCATTTCATGCCGCAGTTTCCCACAGATCCAAAGCCATTTTTAGCTGTTTATAGAGAAATGCATTTGCTGATTTCTTTAACTTTTTCTGTAAGTTTCCTTTGAAGTTTCGAGGTCCAATTGAGTCCTGCTGTACTGAACCCGTACTTTTATAGCCAATGAAAAGATGGTCGATAAGGACGGAGGTTAGATCCAGACGTCTTCTCTCAGGCAGATCAATAAAAACCATTCGAGGTTGGTGTAGAAAATGAAGACTGTTATTGTTATTTAAGCATTATTTATATAAGTTACATGCCACTGTGTTTAAGAAGAAGCAATGAAAACCAAAATGTTTCATTTATTTTTTGCATGTCATTAAAATGTTTGAATTTACATTATCTTGCTTTTCATGACTCATATTGAAACAACCTTGATGGTGTAAATCTGTCAGGGCTCACTGCTTATTTCATATTTGAAAATCGTGGGGAAAAGAAAGGACACCCTATGATTCAGCCGCTTGTGGAACCACCAGCAGGAACAGCTTGCCTTTCAAAATGTAGACATTTGATTTTTGCAGCTTTTTTCAGGGTGTCGGCGCAGCATTTCAAGCATGTTACATGTCACATTAGTTTACCGTGTTTGGAGATGTTCAAAGAGGGGGAAAAAGTTTGCTGATGTACACCAGAAGGAAGCAAAGGTTGCCTTGAACAATCATCCTGACAGATAAGACCAAAAATATTTCCTTATTATACAATGGATGATGTGTGGAAAAATCTGAACTCAGAATATCAGCACAGACAACCCAGTCCAGCTTTCAAGCACGGTGATGGAGGGCTGATGATATGGGCTGGTCATGGAGCTCCGGAACCTGGACACCTTTCAGTCTTTGCTCCAACTGCTCTGCATAGGCAAGTTAAGTTTATTTGAATAGAACAATTCAGTACGCGGACAATTCAAAGTGCTTGACATGAATTAGATAAGTTAGAAGAAAAAAATCATTAAGTCATTAAATTATTATTTTTCAAACGAAGGCCTTAATTGGCATTAAAATTAATTAAGTGACAGATTGTGGCATTTAAAATGCTTTATTTAAAAACATACACTACCGTTCAAAAGTTTGGGGTCAGCCAAACAATTTTGTGTTTTCCTGAAAAGTCACACTTATTCACCACCATACGTTGTGAAATGAATAGAAAATATAGTCAAGACGTTGACAAGGTTAGAAATAATGATTTGCATTTGAAACAAGATTTTTTTTTTTTTTACATCAAACTTTGCTATCGTCAAATAATCCTCCATTTGCAGCAATTACAGCATTGCAGGCCTTTGGCATTCTAGCTGTTAATTTGTTGAGATAATCTGGAGAAACTGCACCCCACGCTTCCAGAAGCAGCTCCCACAAGTTGGATTGGTTGGATGGGCACTTCTTGCGTACCATACGGTCAAGCTGCTCCCACAACAGCTCAATGGGGGTGCAGATCTGGTGACTGCACTGGCAACAAAATTACCGATAGAATACCAGCTGCCTGCTTCTGCTCTAAATATTCTTGCACAAATCGGAGGTGTGTTTAGGGTCATTGTCCAGTTGTAGGATGAAATTGGCTCCAATCAAGCGCTGTCCACTGGGTATGGCATGGCGTTGCAAAATGGAGTGATAGCCTCCCTTATTCAGAATCCCTTTTACCCTGTACAAATCTGCCACCTTACCAGCACCAAAGCAACCCCAGACCATCACATATCTCCACCATGCTTAACAGATGACGTCAGGCATTCTTCCAGCATCTTTTCATTTGTTCTGCATCTCACAAACGTTCTTTGTGATCCAAACACCTCAAACTTGGATTAATCCGTCCACAACACTTTTTTCCAGGCTTCCTCTGTCCAATGTCTGTGTTCTTTTGCCCATCTTAATCTTGTTCTTTTATTGGCCAGTCTCAGATATGGCTTTTTCTTTGCCACTCTGCCCTGAAGCCCAGAATTCCGCAGACGCCTATTCAATGTAGATGTTGACACTGGTGTTTTGCCGGTACTATTTAATGAAGATGCCAGTTGGGGACCTGTGAGGCGTCCTTTTCTTAAACTAGAGACTCTAATGTACTTATCTTCTTGCTCAGTTGTGCAACGCGGCCTCCCTCTTCTTTTTCTACTCTGGTTACACCGCAAAAACAATCCAGAAATAAGTAAAAAATGGCTTAAATTAAGTATATTTAGCCTTAATTTGAGCAGGTAAATAAGATGATTTGCCAATGGAATGAGTATTTTCACTCTTAAAATAAGATAGTTAGATAATATTTACTTGAAATAAGACGATAAAATAGTTTTTTCTTATTTTAGAAGGAAATTGTCTTGTTCCATTGGCAAAGTGTCTTACTTATCTCCTCAAATCAAGGAAAAACACACTTATTTTAAGAAAAAATAACTTATTGAGATTTATATTTTTTGCAGTGTAGAGCCTGTTTGTGCTGTTCTCTGAAGGGAATAGTACACACCATTGTGGGATATCTTCAATTTCTTAGCAATTTCTCACATGGAATAGCCTTCATTTCTAAGAACAAGAATAAACTGTCGAGTTTCAGATGAAAGTTCTCTTTTTCTGGCCATTTTGAGCGTTTAATTGACCCCACAAATGTGATGCTCCAGAAACTCAATCTGCTCAAAGGAAGGTTGGTTTTGTAGCTTCTGTAACGAGCTAAACTGTTTTCAGATGTGTGAACATGATTGCACAAGGGTTTTCTAATAATCAATTAGCCTTCTGAGCCAATGAGCAAACACATTGTACCATTAGAACACTGGAGTGATAGTTGCTGGAAATGGGCCTCTATACACCTATGTAGATATTGCACCAAAAACCAGACATTTGCAGCTAGAATAGTCATTTACCACATTAGCAATGTATAGAGTGTATTTCTTTAAAGTTGAGACTAGTTTAAAGTTACCTTCATTGAAAAGTACAGTGCTTTTCCTTCAAAAATAAGGACATTTCAATGTGAACCCAAACTTTTTAACGGTAGTGTACATTTAGAAAAACAATTTCATCAGATATAACTGGTTCTGGTTGATCGTAAAGCCGTATGTTTGGAAAAGTAGCTCAAGGTGGAGAGAAAGCTAGGGAATGGGACATGGCTGCAGCCTGTCGGCGGTAAAGATTTTGCTGTGTTTTTTATATATATATTAATAAGTGTCATGTACTTGTTGATGGCATTAAAACATTTTTAAGAGCATTAAAAGGGCAGTAAAAACATTAAATTAGAGTTACTCATTCCTGTATGAACCCTGATAAAAGCAAATCAAGATTAAAAAAAACATTTGTAAAATAATTGACCGTAACTTAAACTAATAATTCCTCGGTTAACAGTTTAACTTCAACAGACAAAGGCAGCTCTGAACAAATGGAAGAACTCAGGCTCTCAGCACTTTTACAGTCTTTTTTGAAAATTTGTTCCAGATCAGTGGAGAATAGGAACCAAATGCTGCTTTTTCATGTTTGGTTTTATTTCTGGGTTTACAAAGTAGGCTTGAACAAGAAGACCTACAACTCCTCTGCATAGAGGACTATTCTGGAGTTAAATGAGTCGAAGACAAGAAGCTGAACATGACTGCAGACTCTGATACATTGCTGTAAATTAACCCATTAACCTCTTTTCAGCCCAGTTTACTCTGCACCTTCCACATACTTTACTCTCTATTGAATTACTGCTCTACTGTTTTAATCTGCTGATTCTGCTTATAATATGCATACAGTAGCAGCCGTTCAAAATTTCCCCACTTTCCTTGATGGGCCCTTGGCTGGTCCCCTACAATTCCTTTTTAAGCATCAATATTTGTACTGAAATGTTATTTCTGTAATGATTTGTGGACATTAAGATCTAAAGAAAAGCATAATCTTCCTGTAATTCAGTGAGAGGTTGGTGTCAGAGTAAAAAAAAATATGCACGCCCAGGAGAGGGAGTGGGTCACTGCAGTGGTTGGAAGTTGGAGGGGGCTCTGCTGGGAGTTGCAGGGAAGTGGGCTGTCATTGGGCTGGCGTTTGACTGGGAAGGGCCATTTTGAATGGCTGCTACTGTATATGTGCACTTTAATCTGTAACTGCCTGGTTTTTTTATTTTATGCTTATGTTTTTTGTTTGATTAATATTTAAAATTAAAAACAGCGGGAGAAATGTAAAGTCCTCATGGATTAGTGCATAACTAGCAAATAAACTGATTCTGATTCTAAATACAAGTAATTCAACAGAGGATTTAACCATTTAAAGCCTGGAACATGAAATATATTGACAGATAATTCTATTTTTTATTACAGTAAAGTTGTCATTGGGCTTTCTGACAAATGAATAAACACATTAAATGCTGTATATGTTAAATAAGACCATTTCTTTACATCAGTTTTGTTTCATTAGTCATTTCTGTATAATCTTTTATAAGATCTCTGTTCACTAAATGTCTGATTGTGTAAATCAGTATTTTCAAGTAGAAAAATATCACACTGATGATGCAGAGGTCTCAAAAACTCAAGTATCATCAAATATGATACACCTGGCTTTAAAGGATTAAAATGGGAAAATTAATATAAAAATTTTGAACTAAAAAGACTGCTATAAAGAGGAGTTTTTGCAGTGTCACCTGATCTAAAAACAGTAAATCATTCCCACATATTTTGCTTCCCTAATGTTTTTCCATCCTAGCATTGGCCTGATCAGCAAAGTCTCTTCCATTAAAAGGCATCCTCTGTTTTCCTCTTGCCATCATAGATTTTGTTGAGTAAAACTAGCAATGTTGCTCTTTGTTTTCCATTATTTCTCACAAAATAATATGCATTTTAGAGCATTTCAGTTAGAGCAGGGGTCTTCAATGTTTTTTTTTGGTGAAGGACCCCCAAACTGATGGCGAGGTGGAGCGGGGACCCCCTAATTATGTATATTGTATAAAATTGTGTTATATCAAACTGGTCCTATAATCTATTACAGATGGAGTAATGTAAGGACAGTAATTTCTCCCTGGGATTATTAAAGTATATCTAATTCTAATTCCTGGTTGATGGGACAGGTGTTGTGAATAAAACGGTGCCCAGCTTGAAAGAGCTCCTGTGTGTCGCTGAATGTGTGCATTGATGACTGAAAGACATCTTCTGCCTCCATTTATTTGTTTACTACAGTGTGTTGAATTCATGTTAATGTGGATTTAAAGACATTTCAATTAATGGAAAAAAGTGGAGGGGGACGAATATAACAAAAAAAGTTTAATCAACCAAAACTTTTGCGACCGCCATGCAGTACCTCCGAGGATAGGAATTTTGGGTTTTCATGAGCTGTATGTCAAAATCATCTGTATTAAGACAATAAAAGACCTTAAATATTTTAGTTACTGATCAATGAATCTACTATATATGAATGTTCAAGTTTTATCATTACATTATAGAAAATAATGGACTTTATAACAATATGCTAATATTTTGAGAAGGACCTGTAGTGTAGACTTTACACTCCCGTCCTGTAGGTGGCGGTGAAGCGCCGTTAAGGTAGAAATGTGAGGCCAACAAAAGGAGAAGAGGAACAGATGTTGCTGTCGTAGCCAGACAGCGGCTCGGAGACGCAGCCAGCCGGGGGATGGTTTCTTCATTTTTACATTATTATCGATAAATCTCAACAAAATGAAGCTTCCTTACTCATGACCCGGTGAGGAGTGGGTATGTTCGTCTTTAACGCGTCTTCTGCGGCTCCCTGTGTTACAGTGCTTCAGTTTTCAGAGCAGCTGGCCTGGTCACAACAAGCACAAAGAAGCCCCTTATTTATTGTCTTCCACTCGAGCGAACTTTTCAATCGACGACATTTGATAGATTCCTGATCCGAGTAGAGGAGCAACGAGGCCCTGCTGACCCTGCCGTCCGTTTTTAGGAGTCCAATCTCAGGGTGTTAACGGTGGAGCGATGCTAATGTTAGCGGGGAGAGGATAAACACTGCTGGGCCAACGTTTGTGTGATCAGGCCCTGCTCTAAAAGCTGTTAAAGCTCCATTTAGAGAACATTTGATCTGCTATTTACTGTTAATGAAGCCTCAGGTTTATACCTATGATGTAAAATCCCATTTATGTCTGAATTAGTTTAGCTTTAGCTTCGATCTTATGATGTGAAGCTTTTGATGACATAAAACAATCAGGAAAGCTAATCTGTTTAACATGTTTCTACTCCTGCTGTAAATGGTCAAACTGAAACCTTCAGTCCTTCTGTTGGAAAGCTGGAAGTGATTTAATGATGAATCACAGTCTGAGAATGGATGATGAATTACTGCTGTAGATCATTCTCCTCATCTATTGATCTGATTCCTGTGAACTTGGCTTTAGATGATTCCATTGTGAGAATAATTGGTGTTATTTGATGAATCCAATACAGACAGAGGTTATCAAACTGTCATGTCTGCAACATGACTCATGGACTTTATGAGCAAACACGCCTCTCTTATGGTCAATTTAAATGAATAAATTCTGTGCATCAGGGTATAATAAAGATCGAGTTTAATCATGAATTGAATTTAATTAGGTTGATTATCATAATCTGGGATTTAAAATTATGGCAGATGTTCAAAGTCTCATATAAGGCTGTTAGAATAGAATAGAATCTGTTAATGGAGCTTTTTTTATGTCTATTCAGGATTGCAGTAATGTGCTTTAGTTTTGGGTTATTGGTAGAGCTGTCATGATAGTAAAACCTAGGAAAATATTCTATACCATTTTTCAATAGCATGGGAATGAAAAGTGCCAGACAATCTGCATGAAAACATGTATTAAGATGAAAGATGAACCCTTTTTAACACACATTACCTGCTTTTTCAACAGAATTAGAGATTCTATTAAGTATACAGATAAATGTAAAACTAGTAACCCAAATATAACACACACACATATATATATATATATATATATATATATATATATCGATAAAATAACCAATAAAACATATTAGATAGATAAAATATTTAATATATAACGCATATAAATATATTTATATTTTATATATAACATATATATATATATATATATATATATATATATTATATAACACATATATATATATATATATATGTTTTATATGTAACATGTATATATTTATATGTAATTTTACATAGTTTATTCATGTGAAAATTTAACAATAGGAAAATAATGCAAACAATGCTTGTTTTGATGCCATTCTAGATTAGTATTTGAAGGTGATGTCAATCATTTTTAGATTATTGCTAATTTAACAGCCTTATCTAGAGGTGCATCTATTAGGGACCTGCAGTTGCAAATTTAAACTGGAAGGAAGGTTTTGGGCACATCGAAACCAAGGCTGCCCTCAGTGCAAGGAGCGATCTATTATATTTTGGTGATGATCAACATCATAATCCAGATGCAGGAATTTTTCAAAGGATCCTTTAAAATGTTTCGGTGGAACAAGCAGTTCCCTCCTAAACCAGAGGGTGGCGGCACTGACGATTGACAGCTTCAGCATTTGATAAAAAAAAAGTCCAGAAGGTTAGAGCAGAACAAACACCAGAGGCTGCAGACACACGTTGGGCCTTATTTACTTATGAACAGATTTGAAGGAAATTGATACCAAAGGTGCACCTCATGCCAATGAACAATTCATTATAATTTGGTAATGATCAAGATCATGCGTGATTTTATTTATTTTTTTAGCTATAGCTATAAGTCATAATATGGGGAAAAATGTGCTGCTTGGTGGAGGTCTGTGCACTCGGAGTCCTTTTCTAGTTTTCTTAATTTAAATCTCTTAATGGCCTGGCCTCTTATTAACTCTTTGAACCAGACAGCAGCTCTTTAATGAGCATAAAAGCAAGCTGCTCCTTCCTCCTAACAGTTTGACTCCATTTTTAAACTTTTTATTGTCTTCTTTTATATCAACTGTATAAGTACAGTGCTCTGTGGACCAAGTGGTACCATTTCACAACAGATCTCATTTTAAATTAATTACGCAACGGTGGAATGGAAAACTTGCTTGACTAAAGAATTGGAATATAAAACAGAAGCGTGTGTAATACATGCTGAAATTCACCATTCTGCAGATTTCAAGAGGGAATTAATGAGGCAGAAACTTCCCCGGGGAACAGCCAAGCAAATTCACTCGAGGCCCAATGCTGGAATTCAGAGATATGAAAACGAAACGAGAGCGCCGCCTCTGACTCTACAGGCTGAAGTCGGCATGCAAAATGTTAATGTCCATGACAGGAACATTCAACTATATGACTATACGTTCAAAATCAGCACGGGTGGCTCATACCAGCTGTTTAGCATGGAGGTGGAGGGCTGATGATTTGGGCTGGTTTTAGAGCGTTTGAAACCCGGGTACCTTTGGATCAACCATGAGCTCTTCACTGGAAAAATGATCTAGAAATAAGTTCAAATTTCTTAAATTAAGTGTATTTACCCTGAATTTCAGTTGGTAAATGACACATTTTGCCAATGGAATGAGTATGTTTACTCTTAAAAGGAGATAATTGGATAATATGCACTTAAAATAAGACAATGAGATTGTGTATTCTTGTTTTAAGTGTAAATTGTCTGGTTCCATTAGCAAAGGGTCTCTTTTACCTCCTCAATCCAAAAACAAATGCACTCATTTTAAGAAAAAGTGACTTATCTAGATTTCTTATCTAGAGTAGGAAAAATATAGTTTCTGAATATTGTTTTGTGAAACTGTGGTTAGAGGTTTTTAACTTCACAACCGGATCAGGTTTATTAGGTTCTAGCAGGTTAAATCTGGGTAGTGAATGAGGGCGTGCCCTTTCCCTCATTTTATCTGATCAATCATATAATCGGCGAAAATAAACATACTGATCTGTCAAAGCAAATGGTCCAAAACCTCACTGACTGTTTAAGATGAATCATCCTCTGTATGTGTTCAGGCATCTTATTGATCTCATGGTTCAGGGTGGAAGGAATAAAGGGTTTGATTTCAGGAATTTTGATCTGAATCAAGAAGCTGGTGGATTTGCAGATGTTTGCAGGCTGCTACTTTAAAAGGCTGTTTTATCTCCCCATGGACTGCAGGCTAAACAACTTTTGCAGAACCCTGATGTCTCTTAATAAGCAGCTGTTCCTGTAAAGGTCAGCGGCTGACCTGCTCCGCCTCTGTTTGTCTGCAGGGCGATGAGAGGGACGTGTCCGATGCTGCAGTAGAGGAGCAGTGACATGCTGGCTTGTTTGCCAGCGCCAGGTGACCCCGCCATCAGACTTCTTCCCCGCACGCAGATGAACACTGGACCACAGAAATGTAAGCAAGATCTTTCCAGATGACACTTCATTAAAACTTGGTAAAACAGCGAAGCAGCTGGTATTTATTTTGATGTAGGAACATTTTCTAAAACTATTATCATCATCATCCCTGGTACCCCTAAATAAAATCCAGTGTGTAACTTGTGAGCTCAGATGTTGAAATACATAAACATCCAACCAGAGATTGGATCTGTTTGAATTCATGGGCTGCGTCTTCCAAAGAAGCGTTCTACCTGGACTGGATCCTTGGAAGTCCTTGAAAATAAGGAGACCAGAAGAGTTTGGGTTGTGAATTAAAACAGGTCCAGCCTTCGGTGGCTTTCTCCGCCGTATGCTCTGTCGCTTAGCAACGGTGACAGTTGAGACACGAAGCAGGAAAAGAAAGAAAACTGAACTATCCAAACAGTTGATTTAAAAAAAATAATAATCTTTTTTTTTATTGTAAAGTGAACAAACACTACACTCTACTCTGAACAAATAAAAGCAAACATAATGATATAAACCTTAGTCAGTTATATAACATGCTGCTGTCATTTTGCACATTTCTGATGTTGCTGCTTTTTTGCATTACTGTAAAAATGTCCATAGCTGGATATTAGTTATTTATTCTCCAGGTGCACAGTTTTATATTTTAAAAACATTTTACAGTACAGTATTTTATTGTTTATATTTTAACTCTTCACTGTTATGTTATTCTTAGACATTTTGCTAAGATCCAAATTAGTTTGACCATTTTTTTCAATAATGTTTTTGCTGCTATAAACACCAGAATTTCACCCATTGTGGGAAAACAAAGGGATTTTCTATTCTATTCTACTCTATTCTATAAAAAGGGGTAGAAAGGTATAAGTGAATCTAAACAATGAAGGTATAAAAAAAGCACAAAAAATACGGTAGTTAAGCAAATTGTGCAAAACAGCAATACAAAGATAAAAGTCCTATCAGATTTACCGTCCCCACCCTGCAGATACATTAGAATCTGTCTTTAAATTACAGCCAAACTCATTTACACAGTAACAGATAAAAACCTTTAGATAAATAAAACATATCCGCCACATATCTGACTCAATAACCATTAAAACAACTATTTTCATTAATTTCAGATGGAACTATTCACAGACTTGTATTAAATTAAACTGATTTTCCAATATTCCCCACTGTTTGGCGCCATTTTCCTCTGATCAAGGAGCAGCCAGCTTGCTTAGTCTCGCAATGAAACCTGGGATATCCAAGGATAGATAGGATACATCGCACCCATCCTTCAAATCAGGCAAAAAGAAGGAGGCATTTAAAAGCCGCATAATGATGGAGGCTTGGAATCCGACCAGACCTCGGCGCCGCGCTATGATGCGGAGGACGCAGTCCATGAATTCGAACAGAGCCTATGAAGCATCTTCCTGTTAGAATGGCTTCATATGGAGGGAATTTTGTTCCATTGTTGTTGCAAATAAAGAACATGTTTCGTAAATGGAAATTTGATAGAAATACAGTCAGGAATTTAAACTTAGAAAAACATTTTTATTCCAAAAAACTAACCTGGCTCTGATATTATTCCAATTTTCTTTTCAAATTTTTTTTCAATGGATAATATGTTTTATATTCATATTTAAGAATTGCTTTCTTTTCAAATTTCGTTTTACGGAGTACGTTCTCTTCAAGCCCAACAAAATGTTGCTAACGTCAGACACGCTGACCAACAGGGAAGCATCTCCTCTTCTCAGTCCAGAGGAAAGCCGACCCACCGAAGTGCCGAAATGTGATCTGTAAAGTTGCCTGATAAACCAGACTAAATGTGAGATTAAATGTGTAATTTAATCTGGCCCTGATAAATGAGACATCGGAAGACTGTTGATGAGAACAACCCGTTGTCTTTCAAACTATGTCTGTGCCTTTTGGCCAACGCTCTGACCAATGAGAGCAACTGACTGTGACGTAGGAAGCGCGACAGAAAGCTGGTGGGGGAAGGTAAACAAACAGCCTGTCGGTATAACGGCGAATACGTCCTTCTTAAAAATGAATGAGCGTAGAACCTCTTCCTGCTCACGTTTCAACAAAAATCCCAAGTCTAATCCTTCCAAAGCTCAGTCGAACGAGAACTGTTCAATAGTTGTTGCCATCTTTCTTGTTGTGCTTCCTCCAGCGTCGTGCAGCTTTGTTGTCCCGCCCTTCAAACTCGGCCCACTTTGCATCCAGAAATTCAAAACACATCTCTGCGTTGTGATTGGCCCGCCAGTTCTTGGGCCTGGGGCATTGATGGAGGCCAGAACACAGGTAGTCAAAAATTATTTTGGCTGCTGAGGCTAGTGTAAAAGGCAATTTGAAAAGAAAGCGATTTGTAAAATTCTATCTGAAAAACAGACGGAAGAAAAACAAAAAATACAGTATGTAAAGTATGATTTAAAAAAACATTTTCCAAAATTTTAGTTCCGGTTTGCATTATTTAATTTCTGAATTAAAAAAAAAGGTGTTCAATGCTTGAAACAATAATGGAAAAAGATCTCCATAGATGGCATAATCTAGTCTAAAATGTGTTTTATATAAAATATATGCATGTTTATAGATGTACTTTGCCTTTTATTATTTTGAGCTTTTATGAAAGAAAAATTTGTATAATTTAAGTCTAAATTTGGAAAGTTGGAAACAAATAACAAATTTATGCTTAACTACTAGAGTGATGAAGGAATTCAGTCAGTTGGATTTGTATTGATTGTTCTATTACTGAATGTTGCAGGGGAAACCACACAGAAGATGAGATCTGCCTCCCATCCGACGCCTGCAGAGTTGGACGCCTATGCTAAGAAAGTCGCCAACAAACCTCTGACCATCCAGATCTTCCCAAACAGCATCAAAGTTCCTCAGAAGAAGCACGTTCGCCGCACTGTCAACGGGCTAGATACGTCCTCGTCCGGCCAGCGCCACAGTCCCTACCCTCCTCAGGCGGTCTCCAGCGGGGGCCTCCTGGCCGTCCTGCGCGCGCCCCTCAAAGGCCTCATCAAGCACCCGGACGGCTGCCGGACCCGGCAGCAGCTGAAAGCAGTCATGAACCCTCAGACCGGGCCGTATGCCGCTCAAAGCACTTTAAATCTTCCTCATCCTCCTCCTCCTCACCTTGGAGGCCTCCCTCAGAAGCAGGGAGCGGTTCATCCGCAGGCGCTACAGCAGAATATGACTCACCCGATGGCGCTGCAGCACCATCACCCGCAGGCTTTACAGCAAAGGAGCATGGCTCATTCTCAAGCTCTGCAGCAGCAGCATAGCATGTCCCGGCTTCAGGGAGCACAAACGCAAAGGTTGGCTCATCCGCAGGGCGTGCAGCGGCAGCCTCATCCCCAGGAGGGCCAGTCATGCTCCTTAGTCATACCACAGCAGCATCTCCCTCATGTGCAGACTCTAAAGCATCAGGCGGCTCCTCCACAAGCTTTACTGGCACAGCAGGGAGTGACTCAGGACCTGCGCCACGCCTCCGATGGAGGTCAGCTTCAGGGTCTGCAGGAGCTGGTCGGCCCCCAGGCGGTGCCTAACAGCCTCCAGCAGCCCCCGCCGGGACAGTACGCTCCACGGAAGCTCCCGGACGCAGACGCTCCACCAAATGTAACTGTATCTACCTCTACCATCCCGCTGTCTATGGCCGCCAGCCTGCACCAGAACCGGCCCGGAGACCTTAGCAGCATCGTGAACCAGATCAACCAGCTGTGCCAGGCCCGCGCCGGCACGGGCGCCACCTCCGTCTGCGAGGGTCAGATAGCCAACCCCAGCCCCATCAGCCGCAACCAGCTGATCAGCGCCAGCTCCAGGGTGTCCTCCCAGCATGCAGCTGTGGGCGGCGTCTCCAGCTGCCTCATGATGGGCCACCCTGACAAAGCCGCCGCTCAGACTCCCGGCACTGTGCTCCACGCGCAGCCCAGTGCAAACGCTAATAATATGGCTTCTTTCCACTCGGATGGAGAGAAGGCGCAGCAGCTTCAGCAGCACCTGCTGCAGCAACAGAAGCAGCAGCAGCATTTGCAGCAGCTGCAGCAGCAGCAGCGCTCCTGGGCCCAGCATCAGCTGGCTCACATGCAGCAGCCTCCAGAAGGGGCGCACCCCTGCAAAAACCCCAGGATGGAGCCGCCAGCTGAGTGCGCGTTCCCCTCCCAAAATCTGAGCTACGCCCACAAGCTGCCCAGCTCCGCACAGGGCTTTCCTCTAAAACATCCTACTGATAAACCACTCCCCCCCTCCCCTGCCAGCTGCTCGGTGGGGCCCGTGTCGTACATCAATGGCCATTACATGCAGCCTTCATGGAGCAGTGTCCCCACCACAGCAGGGAACAACGGGAATATTCCTCAGGACCTCCCGGTGGGTTTCCAGGGAGACCGCATCCCGGGAGCCAAATACCGGCCGGGGAAAGACGGCTTGGCCGGCCAGTCCAAGCTGATGCAGCAGAGCATGGATTTCTTAGGCGAGGGCTTCCAGCTGCCCGCCTTGCAGGAGCAGAACCTCGATATGATGCATAAGATGCACAGGTCCGCCTTGGGCCACGTTAAGGAGCCTGGCAACAGCGGGGGTGTCCACAGCCATCACCCAGGCTACCATTAAGCTCCGTTATGATTGCCCTCTGTTGTTGCTGTTGAGTTTTTTTTCTTAACGGCACTTTGAGCTTCTAAAATTAATCGCTGAAGATCTCAATCCTTTAGAGCTTCGTTTGATGGCCCGCCGCTCTGCGACCACGTCCAGCTCCAACAGCCTGATTTGGAGACCGCCGAGCTTGTGATGTTCCCTAGTATTCCTCAGGTCTTACGCCACGTCGTCGCTTTTGTTTCAAACCCAAAAGCCTCTCTGAGCTCGATCGCCGTCGGCTGCTCTTCGGATTCAGATTAAGGCGGGATTAAGCCTCACGACTGTCTCAGTGCTTCTTAGTTTCCCGACTTTTCTCAGCTATTGTGGCCTTCCGACTGCCCAGAGGTGAGCGTTTGGAAGTCCTGCTGGTAAAGCTGTTACCTGCAGCTCTTCATGCGGAAGGGGGAGGATCCTGTCAGCTTCACGTCTCAGACAGGCGTTCTTAACTATGTCTGGGATCTCTGCAGGTTGGGTTCTGTGGGTGGACATTCTCTGTTCTGTCAGTTTCATATAGCTATTCTCAAATGTTTTTTTTTGTTGTTGTCGTCATTATAAATCTGTAGATCACCCTACTTGAACTGTAGAGATAACTTTGTAAGAGTTTAGCATTTGGCACAAGGAAGTAGGAACTCCCATCAGCCCATATTTATCTAAAGTTAATGTGAACCAGAAGGCATCCTGTTGTTGGTGGAATGATGTGTGTCTGCGTGTGAAAAACAAAGCAAAACTGATGACTCCAAGTAATGCAACCAGGAAAAAAAGCTTCTCTTCCCTTCAGCTCCTCTCCTCACTACTTTCTGCTGTAATGCAGCCAGGTTGACGCTGCTCTGAGTCACTGGCATCCATATATTGTTTGTTTGGGGGGGGTTGGCATAGGGGAGCCTCAACTAAGGCTTTCTAACCAGTTTTCCGATGTTCGTATTTGGCTAACTTCAACTGCTGATATGAAAGAATTTTTAAAACATGTTCTATTAGTTTAAAATGAGAGGAGATGTCTGCAGTGTGGAGCAGCAGATGGACGTAAAATAGTCCAACTGATATTTTAAAACAAAATGACAGATTACATTTTTTTTAACCCCATGTTGTCCATTAGCAAAGCAAGCAGGAATAAAGCGGCTGCTTCCAGATGTGCATTTAAAGATGTTATGGAGGGTATTCTTTTGCCATTATTGATGCTATTAGGAAACGCATTGAAATTTGGCCACAACAAAACAACGGCCGTTCAGAAAAAAAGCTTTGAAAAAACGTTAAACTTTGCTGTTTTCTCAGATTTTTTTTTCCTTTTCACTTTTTTTATAAAAACAACAGTTTTAACATATTTTAAATATTTATTTAGTTTTATATATAATTTTTTATATTTAATTTGCATTCTTTTTCAAATTACGATTTTCTAGATAACATTTTTTTGACTTCAAGCCCAATAATAAAAATGTTAATGCCCAGGCAGAAATGTGTCCATCCTCACCAGATGAATGTTATCTCTGAAATGCAGTTTGAAAAAAGGACCATTTGTGAGACTCGATCTAAAAAACAACAAATGCCAAAATAATAAAATTAAGTATTTCAAACAAAAAAAAAATCTAAAAAAAAAATCTAAAAAAACTGCAAAGTTACTCCTAACAACTTTGCACCTTTCATTGCACTTTTTGCAAATTCAATTTAATAAGCTTTTTTATTTTTTAGCTTTATTTCCACGATTACAAAACATTTTCTTTGCTTTTAACGATAATGGCAGAGAATTCGCTCTATATTCTTTGCGTTTCCAGATCTAGCATTTTTTAAATTGCAGACATGTTGAAACCTTTGAACGATGAGCGGCTTTGCTGTTCTTTGTTCTGCCTTCCTGTTTTCCTCTCCGACTCTGACTCTCGCTCTCTGACGGTCCCTTGTTTCCTGAATCGTCTGCAGAGATCAGTCACCTGACTCCACAAGCAGTTGATTTTTCGCCTCAACATCATACTTTAAATTGGAGCTCAATAGTCTCTAAGATAAGCAGTTCATTGTGTTGAGGATTATGTATTTTTGCCATCCTTCTCATAATATAACTGGATTAAAACAAGTTAGCGATAGTTTAGGTAGTCAGACCGTCTCCTTTGCTGCCGGTCTGCAGTTGGCTGATAAACAGACGTGTCGGCATGATCTCGCTGTTTTGGTTTTAAAGGGCTTCACCTAAATCAGACTGCTGCTTTCTCAGCCAGAACTTTCTCCAAACATCGAGTTCTGCTTTCATGTCCGTTAAAACTCATTTATGCCTCTTTAGGGTCAACCACAGCGCTCCTTCCAGATGTAGACGGCTTTCTTTACTGCCTTGCTGGAAGAAGCTGAATTGTCACCGTAATAATAATGGATCCTTGTTGCTCCTAAGATACAAAAATGATCCGGGAACAGAGCAGCCTTGCGGTTTTTCTGCGCCTTTATGGAAGCAGTTTTTTTTTTAGTGAATCCGCTCGAATTCACTAAAAAATCTTGGTTTTCACGCTTATGTCCAAAACAGTTAACTTTCTGGGAAAAGTGAAGTAGCTTTCTTTAAGCAAGCTGACTGGCAGTACCAAGCAACAGGTGGGGGAGGGGCGATTCTTCACTCCATTCAGTGAGAGAGACCTGCACTTGTGCAACTAACGGACGAGTTGGATGCAGGGATATTTCATCCTAAAAGCCTTAATTAGAACAGCTTCGTTCCAGTCAGACTGTTTTAGCTGAGCTCCGCTTTCTGGGTCGCAGTTTATTCGCCTTTATTCTGACCGACTTGTACGACTCATTACTGGCCTGGACTCTCTGGTCTGACTAGATCATGTCGCCTTCGGTGAAATCATCCCAGTTAGGAAGCTCAAGCAGACTGATAGATCAGCCAACCCAGATGTTGTGTTTTTGTTTCAGCTTTTAGTAAAAACCAGATAGGTGTACAGAGCTCAGCTGTAGCAGAAGTTTTAAAAAAATATATTTTATTTCAGTTAAGATCCTGAATTGATTTTATTTTTATTTTTGCTGAACAGTTTTGTCCTAAAGCCATACTTGTTTTATCCTCCAGGGGGAGGCACTTGAGACGCGTAAAACTAGAAGGAAATCAGACTGTTAAACTCTGAGGGCTCATAGGAGGTCTCCACCTCAGCTTTGACCGGAGGTCTTTCAGATCTGAAAAGTCAAAGGCATCATTTTATTTATTTTTTTTTGTATCGCTCCTTCACCTGTTTAACTCCTGCAAGCACACTAGTTAAAAACAGTTATTCACTAGAATTATTGGAGGTTTTTTCATGACTTTGATTTATGGTGGTTCTGAGCCCCATGTGGACCACTGAGGGAGTAACTTCCTGCTTTATAAGAGCCATATGATCACATTTCCTGATCAAGAAGACATCAAGCAGGTCATAGAAATTCTCTGCAAATCAAATCAGGAGGAAATCCCCAGATGGGGGGTGGGGGTGAGGCGGTGAAGGAGCCAAACAGCCTGCAGCCGAGGTCGCTTTTGGGTCTTCAAATTTGACGGTACTTAATTTCTGTTCCCCTGGGCTTCATATGTGATGTGCCTGTCCCTGAAAGCTGCTATTGAATTTAATCATCACACTAATCTGATATGTGTGTCTGTAAATAGTAACAGTACATGGGGCGCATCAGAGGAAAAACACTTCCAGCTGAGGGAAACGTTTCCACCAGGCTGTTTATTAAACCAGTTTATTCAACATTATTCTAAAAATAGTTGATCAGAATTAAAAATTTTAGACCCTTTCAAGCCGTTTTTGGATTTTTGAACAGGCAATCAAATGAGTAGAAAACACTAAACTGTCGGACAGAGCCACCTCTGGTTCTGGTACAACCCATTGAAGTCAGGTTCTACAGTTTCATATGAAGTGCCTCCACTGGGCTTATGGTGGACAAGTGTGAGTGGGTGGATGTGTGTGTGTGTGTGTAGAGCGTGCTAACCTGCGCACAGGTGTGCACAAAGTGAATCTCTAATGTGTGTATGTGGGGGAGCGGGAGCTACTAATTCTAACTACTGATACTGTGTGATGGACCGAAGTCCTGAAGCGTGCGACGACACTGTGGGGGACGCTGCGTCTACCGTTTGCTGCTGACTCACTGACCAAAGTGACCAGGTGTCCCTCTGAGCCGGCCGGCCACGCCTAGCGGCTAGCGCCTGCTAACAACAATAAGAAACAATCTGGTGACGTTAGGGAGAGCTGCTGCCTTTGTTCTGTTGCTTTAGGAGAATCTTGTGAAGAAAAAAAAAAAGATGTGAAGAGAGCAAACGAGAATCTAGAGAGAACGTTTGGTTTTGGTGGTTTTTAACCAGAGCAGTGGTGGTTCTTGGTGAATACCCAGGGCTATATTTTAAGGGGTTGTGCACAAGTGTCACATTGTTGAGGTGTTTTATTCTGCTCGAATGAATTCTGGATGATTTCCTTCATTAATTGGTTGAGGTGGAAACATTTATGGGGGACTTGCCCAGGGGGATATCCATGCAAGAACCGCCACTGGACCACAGCTTTGTGAATCATGGTTCCACTTCAAATCCAGAAGAAGCTCAGTATACGTCTGTTTGCACTGTAAGAATCATCTACTGAAGCACATTAAAGTGAACTGGGCTGAAGCAGCGCAGCAGTCACTCTAGATTTCCCATTGCTTTTATCCAGTTTAGATTAGAAGAAGCAACCGTGCTCTGGCCGCAGCTGGAGGGAGCTTTCTTTCTGTGTGAAAATGTGATATTCCAGTTTTGCCTAACCTTCAGGAATTCAGACGTCTTGCACAAACATTCCCCCTAACCAAAATAAAGTTTGCAAACACACAGCTGTTTTTGTCTTGTCTTTATTGAGAGGATTTGCACATTTTTATTTCAGTAAGCATAATAAAAAGTGTCCCCTAAATAAGGTGATTTACATTCTTTGTCAAATAGTTTGAAAAGTTAGCAGATGGCATCAGGATACAGTGGAAAGGAAAACTCCCATTTAAACGTAAGCAACTGCAGATTGAACCATGCTCGTCGAGAACGACCAACCTGATGTTTGAAGCGCTGATACAGGAATACTTTGAGTGGAAAGTCAAATGTTAGTTGTAGCAGTAGGTCCTGTTGAGGCTCAGATAGTTGAAAACAGCTAAAAATGTGACGTCTGAGCCAAAACTCAATCTA